ATGTTCAACTTTTCTTGAACCTTTTGTCTTCTTCCAGTTTAGAATGATTGTAATTTTGGTTACATTAAAGGTACGAGCTTTGTTTACATTTTAATAAAACTAATGGCAGATTTATTTTTAGCTGTGTGTGATTCTGTGTTTGAGTATTTAACAGAAAAAAAATCACATCCTGCTTATTCAAAAGATCATTTGTGGTTCTGCTTCTGGATAAGATGGAGTAAATACACTGTACCCTGTCTCTCATGAATATAGCTATGAAGCCTAGACAGAATTCAGATACCAGTTCTTTAAGGATTCTGAAAAATACAGAAGCAAATAGATAGAAGAAGACCAGAATTCAGAAACTTCCAAGCTAATAGCTAACATATCTTTGCCCCTTTTGTTTGCCCCTACCATGAACTTGAGCCTTGGAAATGAGCATCTGTGCAGACAGAACTCCATGAAAAGCTTTTTGGTTCTCCACAAAGAATAGGAAAGGATTCTCCTGGCAGCCCAGGCACCTGAAACTCTGAGGAAGAACTTCCTCTATGAAAGAGGAATTGCAATCGCAAGAAAGTAGTTCTTGGAGTTGACACCAGAACTACATCTATCCATAAAAGCAAATTGGTAAAGTGCATTTTTTCAAAATGTAGAACCTCTTCATGAGAAATTCATGAGGGGGGGTAACTACAGACCAGGAGATACTTTTGAATCACCTATCTCATGAAGGATTTGTAACTAGAAAATATATTTTAAACAACTCTTAGCAGTAAGAAAACAGCCCAAATGAAAAATAGGCAGAGATTTGAATGGAAACTTCATTAAGATATACAGATGGCAAATAGGCACATTAAAAGATGCTCAGCTTCATTAGCTACTAGAGATATGCAAATTAAGACCATGAAAAAGACACACTGTATACCTAGTATACTGATACCTGGGCAAGTTAGTGGATATACTATAAAATCTTCTCTGTCCATTTCTGGTTCCCAGCCTTTTTTCAATCCTATATTATTTTCTGTTTACTCATACTATCAGTGAAAGAAGTGTTAAAATCTCCAACTATAATCGTAAATGTGTCTGTTCCTCTTTTCAGTTTCATCAGGTTTTGCTTCACGAATTTTTAAAGTCCCTTGAATTAATTCATATTTAAAGTTGCTAAAATTTCTGCTTAGTGAATCAGTTGTTTTTTTAAAATATATTTTGAAATATCCCTCTTTATTCCTGGTAATATTTCTGTCTTGACATCTATTTTGTCTTATGTTAAGATAGCCACTACATTCCTTGTGCTTAATGTTTTTTTCATGGCTTGTGGTATTTTTTTTTCATGAAGATCTCTTTCCATTCTTTTACTTTCAAGCCATGTTTTATTGTGGCCCCCTGAGGTCTTCCCTGAATGCATAGTAGATCATCAAAGAACTCACCATTTTGGCTGGTCAGAGTTGGGACATTTTGCTGCCATGTGTGAATTCTAGTAATTGTTTCAGTTTACATATCCCCAATTTTTTTTTGCCTGGCCTGGTACAGTTTATATATATATATATAATATATATATATATATATATTATATATTATATAATATCTGGCACATTTCTGCCTAGCTAGCTTCTGTTTTCAAATCTTTTTCAAGTTGGGTTGGATAACTTCTAGCCATATCAGTCTCTCCACTTTCTAATTCTGTCTTCTCAATTTAGTGATATTATTGTGCTCTAAAACAGTGTTTTCCTTAATGCCTACAATTCTGAAATTGCTACGATCCTGGTGAAATTGACTTTATTATTATTATTTTCTATTTTCTTGGTGAGCACAGTCCTACCTTTCCTATTTAGACTTAATTTTTTCAAAAACTGTGTTCAGTTTTCTAGTTTCTGTTGTTTGCTTGTTTTCAACCTGATACTCAGTGCTTCATGTACTCACTTGCTTTCTTGCGTTACTCAGTACTCTACCACTGGAGACATGCCTCCAATCTAGTATTTTGCTAGTATGGAGTTTCAGAGACTTTTCTTGCCAAGCTGGCTTTGAACTCAGATCCTCTGGTTCTCAGCCTTTCGAACAACTAGGATTACAAATGTGAGCCACTGGTGCCTGATTGTTTTTTGTAGGACAACAGTGGTTACGTTCAGTTTTGATTACAATGTAGAAGGCTCTACTTTTTTTTTTTTTTTAATTGTGAGAATACCGTACAGAGGAGTTACAATTGCATGGGCAAGATATCGAGTACATTTCTTTTTTTTAATTTTTGATTATGAAAATACCATACAGAGGAATTACAATTACATGGGCAAGGTAATGAGTACATTTCTTACCAAGCATTGTTGCTTCCTCCTTTGTTTCCCCTTCCTATTCCCCCCCCCCCCCCCCCCCCCCCCCCCCCCCCCCGCCAAAGTTGTAAAGTTCGTTTTTCGACATAATGACTTGTACTTCTCATTGTTGCAATGGGTCCACCTGTATCCCTATTTAAACGATTTGTTTTTTCCCTTCCCCTCCACAAATTATACCAACATTTATCAAGCATTGTTGTCTACTTGGTTTTATATAAGTAATTAACAAGAGAATTTATATCTTGAATTTGTTAATTCTGCTATTTAAGAAGAAAAAGAAGATAAAAGTCTTATAAAACGGGGCTGGGAAGGTAGCTCAGTGGTAGAGTGCTTGCCTTGCATGCATGAGGCCCTGGGTTCAATTGCTCAGCACCATATAAGCAGAAAAAGCCAGAAGTGGTACTGTGGCTTAAGTGGTAGAGTGCTGGCCTTGAGCTGAAGAGCTGAGGGACAGTGCCCAGGCCCCACAACCAACCAAAAACAAAATTGATATCAGACATTTATGAAGATTAGACACAAAAATTCTCATTTAATTGGTATAACCATTTTTACAAAGGGTTAAGCATATCTTAGAAAGAAAAAATATCAAGAAAAATTCTTTGAGAACTGCTAATATATATATGCCTACAGATATGTACAAGAATAGTCATAGCAGTATTGTTTACAGTAGTCCCAAACTGCAAACAATCCAAATATCTACCCTTGGTAAAAATAATTTATAGTATGTTAATATTTCACAACATTATACAGCAATGAAAATGAACTAATTGTAGTAACTTTTCCCAATAGCATAGAGCTAGTAAGTTCTAATATTAAGCAAAACAAATGATAAAAGATACATATATGATTTCACTTTTATAGATAGGAAACATGTAAGACAAACACAAATCACTTTTAGGATTATAATGTAGGAATGAAGCTATAATGAAAAAAGAAAATTGTTCCTAAATGTCAAGAAACTTTCTTTACTATGAGAATGTGTTAGAGCATCATACATGTCTTCAGGTACTGGTAGTACTGTTTCTTAGCTTGGGTGTTTCCATGGAGCTTATTTTATATTGGTTGCATTATACAAAATGAGAAAATTATTTGTCTGCATGTAATTTTGAAATAACAATCCAGGAATATATACTATATCTCTGTGTCATTTCTTTAGAGAAAGCAATATAAACTTTATGAAGATGTACACTTTAGCTTAGATATTGGAGTTGAAATTAATTAAATTGATTGATAGGCCAAGGAATTGTAGAATTATACTTTGGAATCTTTAACAATATTAAGAATACATGTAAAATGTACGTTTGATGTCCTTGTGCTTTGAGAAACTTCAAGGCTCTCACATCTTCAGCTATTCCTTTCTTGCTCAAATAAAGCTTAGATATTTGAGCAGTTGAAGAGATTCACTGAGCCTCATTTTTTTCTGACTTTAACCCTTCCTTCTTCATGCCTGTCTCTTAAATATTTTAGCTGATGTTGACAGGTGTGAGAATTGCTGATCTAAATTAATTATCTGACAACAAACCCAAAAGGCTATTGTAAAGAAAAACAAAAATATAATATATAGAATGGATAATAGATCTTAAAGTTTATGGGCTTTCGTGCTTGCTCATATTCTACCTCCTTCCCTTCCGTCCCTCCTCCCCTCGTCCCTTCCTCCTCTCCTGTCTTCCTTTTTTCCTTCCCTAATTTTGGGGGCAATCTCCTGCCTAACTGTAAACTCAGTTCTTGAGATTAGAAATTCTCTATTTGAATCTTGCAGATCTTAGACTTTGTTTAAAGACAATACTTTGGCTTGCTTGTTGCTTCTGGTTCTAATAGGTGATCTGAAGTCTTAACACTTACTAATTCAATTGATAGTGTTCTCTTGACACTAATACTTTCCACCCCTAAACCTATAGTTACTTCTGTATTAGATGTCAGTTATCACAAAACAAATTATCATACATTTAATGACCTAAAATAATAGTTATTTATTATCTTCTAGTTTCTTCTTGTCAGGATTCAAGGCATGGCTTAGCTGAGTCCTCTGCTCAGTCTCAGAAGTCTAACATCAAGGCTCAACTGTGTTCCGTGCTAGTTCTTTTCTGAATTTGTGTTGTTATGGGTAGAATCCAGTTCTTTGTGGATGCTTGGTCAAGATTTCTGTTTTCTTATTGGCAGCCACCACAGGGGGAACTTTGATTCCCAGAGGCGTCCTGAAGTTCTTTTCCATGTGACCCTCTTACTTGTGACCATAACAGCAAGGTTCCAAGACCAGCAGGACCTGCTAACACAATCTTTTATAATATGACTACATCATAGGAGTGATTTCCTATCACTTTTGGTATAGTTTTAAACAAGTTACAGAGGAAGAGATACTTCAAGAGCTTGACCATTGAGAAGCAAAGAGCAGTATCCTTAGGGTGTCCCATCACAGTCTGATACCTGGTTAGTAGCCACAATTCTCTACCCCATTACAAATTAACAAACATCATTCATGCTTTATCAAATGATCTTTGTTTTTATGACAAAATATATTAAGGTTTTCTAATATTAAATGTGTTTTTTAATAAACAATTCAGGGATAAAGGAAATCTCCAGGATGTATGTCTAAGATTCTAAGATAATTCTGATTTATTGATAGGAACAAATGTGCCATTGTATAATTGAACATGACACTAATTCTATTATATGTTTTATCAAATTGCTCTTACTCTTCAGTGCAGAAATCACAACCATGGCCCTCACCCGCCAGGATTTGGTCGACATGGTGTCTGTGCACATGAGAACAAAGACCTTGCCAAGGCAAGAGAAATTCTTCCTCTCATAGAGGACTCTAGTAACTGTGACATTGTCAAAGCTACCCAGTAAGTCTTCCAAATGCTTTATTTTATCTTTATGTTCTGTTGACTGAAATAACGTACAACTCACGGCACTTTATAGGTTTACATTTTCAGTGTACTCTACAATTCATTAATTCCAGCATTAAGTATGTTTGACATATCATTATCAAAGCACATAGTACAGTGTACCTCAGCTGTTTGTATATCAGTCTCTCTCATTAGATTGTGAGCAACTTCTGAGGAACTTCATCTTTGTACAAAGAAGATGTACTTTTGCTAATCTTACTGTATAATTCCTGTATATTCTGTTAGGTGCTCAGTAAGTATTGAATGGATGAATTATTTAGAATGACATAGAAACTAAACTTTGAATGTAAAATATACTTCAACGTAGATATATGAATGTGATGGAAATTTCAGCTAACACTTGGATATATTATTTTTGTGTATACTGGTCTTTGAACTCAGGGTCTGGGTGCTCTCCCTGAGCTGCTTTTGCTCAGAGCTAGCATTCTACCACTTAAGCCAGCACTTCACTTCAGCTTTTTGCTTTTCTTTCTTGTGCCTGTCTTGGGGCATGAACTGGACAGCTGGGTGCTGTCCTTCAGCTTGTTTGCTCAAGGCTAGCATACTGCCACAGGTTCACTTCAGCTTGGTGCTTAATTGGAGATAGGAGTCTAGTGGACTTTCCTGCCCATGCTAGTTTTAAACTGTGATCCTCAAATAGCTTCCCCCTGAGTAGATAGGATTACAAGCATAAGCCACTAGCACCCATCTCCACTTCGGCTTTTTGTTGGAGAGTAGTAGTTCATTGAAGTTCATAGACTTTTTTGCCTGGCTGGCTTCTAACTGCCATTCTCAGATTTCAGCCTCCTACAGATGTGAGCCACTGGTGCCTAACATACACTTCTGGGTGTTTACTGTTGTGCTGTATTGTATATGCTAGAAGAAAGAGGGGGTAAGACAGAAAGATATTCTCTGATCACTTGAAATATATAGCGGGTTTGTTTTGCTTGTTCAGAAAATGGAAATACATTTTAAAAATTTCTCAAGATCACCATATGTGGGTATTTATATTATTAAGTCAGTAATTTGAATGGGTCTTGTTAATTATTAGCAGCTGTGTTGTATCTTGCTATTGAATATATTTTGAAATATTTTATCAGACTGCAATAAACAACCCATATGTTGGTAAACAAGCATGAATCTGCCCATTAGATTATCCATCAAATGTAAATCATGTCTACCTAATCAGCATAAAAGGGACTAGTGTTAGTACAGTAATTTGATATCATTTCTGTTAAAAGAAAGATGTTTGGGGTTGGGAATGTGGCTTAGTGGTAGAGTGCTTGCCTAGCATGCATGAAGCTCTGGGTTTGATTCCTCAGTACCACATAAACAGAAAAAGCCAGAAGTGGTGCTGTGGCTCAAGTAGTAGAGTGCTAGCCTTGAGCAAAAAGAAGCTCAGGAACAGAGCCCAGGTCTTGAGTTAAGGCCCAGGACTGGCAAAAAAGAAAAAAAAGATGTTTGGTGATTAATTAACCTGTTTGGACTTAACATTGATTAATATGTATATTTATTAAAATATATTGATAATTACAGTGAACTTTAAAGACCCTATGAATCAGTACTTCAGATGAATATTATTTTTTTGTTTATATTTATTTGGGGATGAGAATTTCTTTTTTTAAATAATTTTTATTGAGATTAAGTGATTTCATAAATTTCACAAAATTTACAGTATTGTGGGATAGTGATACTTAAAGTCACAAACACATTTTAACCTTCACAAGACAAATTGTCATTATCATGGACTATAATGTTTGTGAATTCTATGAGCTTTGATAATACAACTATTTCTTCCACATCAGGTGATACGTACATTTCTTTCTTTTTGCTTAGTATAAACTGTTGCCTCTTTCCCTCTCATTCCCTCCCTCCCATCGCTGCCCTTGAGTTGCTTAGTTTGTTTTCATCAATGTCCAGTGGGCCCCTCTGTTGTATGTTTTCCCCTGCTTCCCTACTCCTCCTAGCTTCCCTCAGATGTGCACATATATATACCACATGGGATGAGAATTTCTTTAGGTCAGTATTTGTTTTAATTAGAGTGGAAACATTTAAATATTTGTTACCTAATAAGCAGTGTTATTATAAATGTTTCAAATTTAGCTACATTGACAGAATCTCAGTCGAAATTTCCATATCTTCCTTAAGATTTTTTTTAGATCTTGGACTGATTGTGGTGAGATCTTCAGAAATGATTTGAGAAAGGCAAATATCTGTGTGTGTAAATTATAGCACATCTCTATATCGATCTATCTGTCTGTCTGTCTGTTTATCTATTTCTTCTCCTCTGGGAAGGGCTTATCATCCCTTCCTCTGCCAGATCTCTATCATGTCCACATTTGGTTTTTCAATATATCCTATTCCAACTTTGCTATTAGTTTTTGGGGTTTTTTTTTTTTGTCCCAGATTATAAGGATATTGCACAGGCTTGGTTTGACTTAAATGAAAGAAGGCAATGGAAGAAAGACAGCCTCTTCAGTAAATGGTGCTGGCAAAATTGGTTAAACACCCATAGGAAAAATAAACTAGATCCTTATATATAACCCTGCACCAGAATCAACTCCAAATGGACCAAAGACCAGGAAGTCAAAGCAGAAACTCTGAAAACATTACAGGATGGAATAGGAGAAACCCTAAGTCTCCTTGGCACAAGCCAAAATTTTCTTAATAGAGACCCAGAAACACAACAAATCAAAGAAAGGCTGTACAAATTTGATTGCATGAAATTGCAGAGCTTCTGCATGGCAAAGGACATAGCTAGCAAGACACTAGAAAGCCAACAGATTGGGAGATCTTCACTAGCCATACAACGGACAAGGGTCTCATATCTAAAATATACCTGGAACTCAAAAACTTAAATCCCCCAACAACAAATCTTCAAAGAAACAACTGCCCAATAAATAAGTGGGCTAAAGACTTAAAGAGAAACTTCTCTGCAGAGGAAAGAAGGATGGCCAACAGACACATGAAGAAATGTTCAATCTTCCTAGCCATAAAAGAAATGCAAATCAAAACAACATTGAGATACCACCTCACCCCAGTTAGAATGGTTATAATCAATTTCTCTAATAACAACAGATGCTGGAGGGAGATGTGGACAGAAGGGAAACCCTACTGCATTGTTGGTGGGAGTGAAAACTTGTTCAACCAGTGAAAACTTGTTCCACATAGAGCTCCCCTATGACCCAGCAATCCCACTTTTGGACATTTACCCGAATGATCATAAACAAGACCATACTAAAGCTACCAGCTCAACTATGTTTATTACAGCATTATTTACCATAGCTAAGATATGGAACCAACCCAGATGACCCTCAGTAGATGAATGGATCAAGAAAATGTGGTATATATACACAATGGAAAGAACGACATTGTCCCATTTGTTAGGAAATGGAAAGACTTGGAAAAAATTATATTAAGTGAAGTAAGCCAGGCCCAAAGAAACATAGGTTCCATGGTTTCCCTTGTTTGCAATAACTAGTATATGTCTGAGACAAACAGAAACAGGCAAGTTTATATTAGGCAAAATGAACCCCAAGATAAGGACTCAAATGGTTTTTCTTTCTTGCTATTTTTTCTAACATATTTATAAGATGATTTCTTTGTTGCTTTGTATGTTCTTCCCCCATGACATAACTCCTGTTTTCACTGTATTTGATGTTGGTATAATTTGTGGAGGGGAATGGAAAAAACAAATGGGGATACAGGTGGACTCATTGCAACAATGAGATGTACAAGACGTTATGTCGAAAAACGAATTTTATAACTTTGGAAGGGGGGAAATGGGAAGGCAGGGATGGTAAGGGGAAACAAAGGAGGAGGCAGCAGTGCTTGATTGCTTGATACGAAATGTACTCACTACCTTGCTCATGTAATTGTAATCCCTCTGTACGGTATTTTCACAATAAAAAAAACTTACCAATTAATTAATTAAATAAATAAATATTCTATTTTGAGGCTAAAAAAAGAAAAAGAAGGCAAATGTGAGTATTAAAGTATATTTAAGAAAACAAAACTCAACTGTAAATAAGCAAATCTGATCATTAAGTACATTAAGTTTACTTTTGTTGTTGGACTTTACATTATGTCCTCTTTTTACATCTGTTAATTATAGTTGACGCTTTGTGTCTTTGAGTTCTGCATCAGCCAATTACACAGCTTCAACTGATTTAGGATTCAAAACTTTAAAAATTTTACCTGTACTGAGCATGGAGATTTTCTTGCTATTGCCTAGATAGTAAAATATGACAATTTACATAGAATTTACACTATATTAGACATTTGAAGTAATTTATAGATGACTTAATATTTATGAGTATGTGCACATTTTATTTACAAGGGATCCTGAAACCAATCCTGCATGGAGTATTATACTTCTGTGTTGTCAGAAAGATAGTTTAAAGAAAAGACATGTTAAAGGAACAAACTTTGATATGTGAAATTATTTTCATGGTATTAATTATACCTTTGTTTTTCTTTTTGAGATACGGGATTTTTGAGCGATGTAAAGAATTGGTTGAAGCAGGCTATGATGTCAGACAACCAGACAAAGAAAATGTGTCACTTCTTCATTGGGCTGCTATTAACAACAGACTAGATCTTGTAAAGTAAGATGAATATGTCCATGTTAATTGTATATTTATAATTCTAGACCTCTCTTTTGGTTGTCTTTTTCTCCAAGTATGATTATTAAGCCACCTATAATTAATGAATACCTGAAACTTCCAGCTGCACATGTGGTTGCTACAGAATTGAAGAAGAACTTAGAGGTCCACAAGTCCAGGACTCTCACTGGTCCAAAAGAAAAATTGGGGGAACTCAAAGGGGCCCATTATAAAGATAAAGACCAGGAAATAAAAGTGAACTTTTTTTTTTTTGAACAGAAAATCTTAACAAGCTTTCTCAGGACATATAAAGGTTTCATCTAATTCAAGAAGAAACATTGAGCCGGGCACTGGTGGCTAACGTCTGTAATCCTCAGGAGGCTGAGATCTGAGGATCATAGTTCAAAGCCAGCCTGGTCAGGAAAGGCCGTGAAACTCTTATTTCTAATAAACCACCAGAAAGCCGGAAGTGGCACTGTGGCTTAAGTGGTAGAGCGCTAGCCTTGAGCTGAGTAGCTGAAGAACAGCACTCAGGCCCAGAGTTCAAGGCCAACAACCAACAAAAGAAAAAAAAAAAAAAAAAGAAACATTGATATATTTTGCATTTTTTGTATTACAGAATTATATATTGAAAATCCTTGAAACCTAAAAAGTGAAAATTTACTAAGGTTTAAAATACACTATCACATATTTATAAACTCCTGGTATAGGTAGGTCGTTTAGAAAACATGATACAGCTTTGAAGTAATGCGATTAACTTCTCTAGGTCATTTTTATTACTTTATATGTTCACCTGTTATAGTGCATGAAAGCATACCTATGCTTGAAAATAGAAAACAAAACATTCAAAGTGTATCACTTTTCTAAGAAGACTTTAATTTTTTATTACTTCAAAAATTCATTCTTACATAATAATTCTAATTTTGAACTGCTAAATATAATTTATCTTCCCAAGTTAAGTAGAATTTGTAACTCCAAATCTTTTGACTATAAACAGTTTCAAAATTGTAGTAGTTGGGATTTGCAACATAGTTATCATGAGTTATAATAGAATGTTAATGACAGCAGGATCAATTATTTATATGCAATAGTGTTTTACTAGGAGTTTGTCTGATACTGCCATATAAATTACTGAGACTGCTGTAGATCTGGGACCCTAACGAAAACTTATAATTTCTATTTTTTAGCACATTTATTAATAAAGAAAAATAATTTTCAAACCTTATTTGCATGTTTCTCTGTTTCAACAGGTTTTATATTTCAAAAGGTGCTGTTGTAGACCAGTTGGGTGGTGATTTAAATTCAACTCCTCTTCATTGGGCTATCCGGTAAGGTTTCTTTAAATGCTGAAATTAATATCTATTTGGCTAGTGGCCACCATATTGTAAACCAGTTAGACAACTGTGTAACAGTTACAGACTATTGAATGGCTTTTTCCTTTGCAAAAGAAATTAAAGCTGGGTGTCAGTGGCTCATGCTTATAATCCTAGCTACTCAGGCGATTGAAATCTGAGGATCCCAGTTCAAAGCCAGGCCAGGCAGAAAAATCCTGGAGATTTATCTCCAGTTAACCACCAAAAAGCTAGAAATGGAGGTGTGGCTTAAGTGGTAGAGTACCAGCCTTAAGCAAAAAAGCCAAGCAAGAGCATGGGGTCCTGAGTTTAAGCCCCAGTAGCAGCACCAAAGAAAAAGAAAGTGAACAGTTGTTCCTGTAAGGCAAGGAGTTTGAAACTTGTTTCTTCATAGTTTTGAATGAAGAACCTAGGGTAAATCATCCCTTTAAGCTAGTGAGATTTATTATTGCTTTGCATGAACTATATTTGGGTTAATGAAGATGTTTTTTAATACTGTCACCGTGTACTCACAGTCTAAATATTATATTCCTGAATGTCAAAATATTCCTGATTATTTTTGGCTTAGCAACAATGAAGTCTAAGGGTGTAAAGTTTTCATTGTTAGCATTAATTAGTCATATGAAACTTTTTCACATTATAGCAGCATAAAGTTTTAAGTTAGATTAAGAAATTACTAGTGTATTACTTACTGGCAGGAAGCACTACATGTAGTTCTACGTTTGAATAATTTAAGTAAGAAACAGTGCACAATCTCTACAATGTTTCCAAAGTGTTACTGTTACAAAAATCCTTAGGGATATTAGTTTCTACTTGAAACTTTTTTCTTTTTCTGCATGAATTATGTTCTACAGATACAGCATTAGTTTTTATTTCCTATTTACAGGCAAGGGCATTTACCTATGGTCATATTGTTACTCCAATATGGTGCAGACCCCACTCTCATTGATGGAGAAGGATTCAGTAGCATTCACCTGGCAGTATTATTTCAACACATGCCTATCATAGCATATCTCATCTCAAAGGGGCAGGTATGTTCCGGAATGTCTCTTCTATTCCAGGTACTATAATTTGAAGTGGGAAGATTATTAGTTTTAGTCTGCCTCATTTTTTTTCTTTATTGAGATTGATTACATAAATTTCACAAAATTCACAGTATTGTAAGATACTTAGTTAAAGTCACAAACACATTTTAACCTTCACGAGGCACATTGTCATTATTGTGGTCTATAGAGTTTATGGTCTCTACAAACTTTGACAGTACAGCTTTTTTTTTTCCAAATTGAGTGATATGTGTGCATTTCTTTCCTTTTGCTTAGTGTAGGCTGTTCCCACTTTCTGTCTCATTCCCTCCCTCCCATCGCTGCCCTTGAGTTGCTTAATTTGATGTCATCAATGTCCAGTGCATCTGATTGGCCCCTCTGTTTTCCTCTGATTCTGTGCCCTCCTCCTGTCTTCCTCAGATGTGCCAATGTATATATACTCTGTATGAGAGTCAAGAACATGGACTCATCTAGAAATGATATGACAAAGTAAGAAGAGGCCCTTTGTTTCTTGAGCCCTGTTTACTTTGTCATATCTTCTTAGTCTGCCTCATTTTTACAGTGGAAGCTTATGACTATACATATAGGCAGACTTTAACCTCTAAGTCTAGCTGTTAAATAAATACTTTGTTTTCAGCTTTATTGGAGGGAGAAGTACAGCTCATTTAAGTCAGTAACATATAATGTTTCTAAAGCTTGCAAGCTTCTAATGGTGTTTCTTATGAACCCAGTAATTTTATGAGGTTTTCAAAAACATTTTCAAAGCCTATCATTTCTTTTTATTGACTGTAGAGATGGTAGTAATAACATTAAAAATCCCATCATTGGCTTTCACTATTTGAGACCAAATGGGAGACCAATCTGAATATGTGCTTCTTATAGCTAAAGTAATTCCAGGAAAAATGACTTGCCTTAAGCGGCACAGGTTAAATTATAGGTTATTGGCAGTGAGAGTTTCGTTGTCAGCTATACTTCTCTGGAATGTGCTTTCTGAATGCAAAGTAGTTTACATATTACCAGTCTTGCCTAGAACAGGCATGGAGACGTGTTTGCATGAATGGTGTTGCAATGACTGTGCTACCTTTAAATAAGCACTTTTCTCTCAAGCTTATCCAGTTGAAGTATGACCATTACAGCCTCCTGGGCTTCATTTTGGAATGACATATGAGGAAAAATCCTTTCTGCTTTTCTCTGGTTCCTTCCCAAGTTTTTCTTCAAGGCCCATATGAATCTTCAGTAACTGAAACTCTTTTATCATTGTTATACACCTTGAATGTGTGCCTGTCTTAATAACGGAGCATATCTTTAGGGAGGTATGACTTTTTGTTCCTCTTGCTTGTATTCTAGAAAATATATTTTTTTGTTTTAATATTAAGAACTGCTGTACAAAAATACAAATGGACTCAGAAGATAGGGAATTCAGTATTACTGGTAATGTTTTAGTAGAAAATGGACAACTTTGCATGATAAATGAGTGCATGAACATATTTCAGTTAAAGTAAGTAGGTGACTTCAAAGGTCTCTAAGTCATATTGGTGGCTATCTATATTTTATTTGTAGATGTCTTCTGTTCACATTATATAATTGATATATGAGATACATGACTTCTATAACTCATCCAATAACTCATACTATACATTACATTTCTTTCTTTAAAAATATTTTGTAGAAATGCATGGATTTGGCTGGGATTGGCTTAACTGGTGATGAATCTAACTACTATTTGTAAGGCCCTGAGTACAAACCCCATCATTGCCCATCATTGAAAATAGAAAAAAAAAAAATCTATGGATTTTTACCCTATGAAAGTGAAGCACAGGCTAGGCACTGGTGGTTCATGCCTGTAATCCTTGCTACTCAGCAGGCTGAGATCTGAGGATCATGATTGTCTTTTACAGTTTTGCTAATTGATTCTGCTTTTTTAATAGAGTGTGAATATGACAGATGTGAATGGGCAGACACCTCTCATGTTATCAGCTTACAAAGTAATTGGGTAAGTTTAATTTCTATGAATATACTTGCAAGTATCTTAGTCCATGTGATATGATAGTACATGCTAAAAAAATATTTTCCACCCTGGGACTATGATAGGAATTTTTAAAGTAGCTGTAGTTGAAGTATTAAAAAACATTTTTCCCTTTTCTGATAGCTTGGGTAAAAAGTTTGAAAGTTACTAATAAGAAAAATGTTTCCTTAAAGAAGAGGTAAAGATTCCTTAGCATTTGAGTTTCAGTTGTTTTGTTTTTTACTTGTTATATATCTATATTCAAAATACCACTGATCCTTCTTGTGATAGTTGCTGAATTTTCGAAGTTTATAGAAAACAGCACATAGATTATGAAGATAATTGTTAATATGATTGATATTCCTATCTTACCTTTTAAAAAGATGCTACAAGTTCAAATCTTGATGATAAATATGCTTTCCTAAAAACAGTAAATTTTGAGATTCTTTGATAATATTATCTTCTCTGAAAATTCTAATTGTAATTAATCTGTGAAAAGATTCCATTTGTGTATTTATACCAGACCCTTAAATATTTAAGTTTTCTATTTATAAACAATATTCTTAATATCTGCCATGTATTCCAACTTCAGGTATTAAACTATGCAAATGCGTGCTACAAATTTTACTTTATTAAATGTTTTCAACATTATTACTGAATCTCCAGTTTTGGTTTTTCCTTTAGCACTTCTAGAAACTAAGTTTATTCTAATGTCATTTCCTTCTTATGGAGTTATGTGACAAAGGGTAGAATTTTTTTGGAGAGCATTTTCTCTTTGTTGATAACTCAGAAGCCAGTCTAAAGATCTTGATAGAATAAACTAGAATGTTGTTTCTATTGAAAGACTCTCTTTGAGTATTTGTAAAGGAGTGAAAAGTATTGATGGTAAGGGAAAAACATTTTACAGGATTCTATTTTCTAGTTTGTAGCTTTCTGAAATGTACTTGTGGTAGGACATTACAAGTCAAGCATTCCTAATTCCCAAATCCAAAATCCTAAGTGCTCCAAATCAAAAAAATTTTTAGACAAAACGTGACACCACAAAATTTCATACTATGAAAACTTTTTTCACACACAAAATTAAAATGCAGCTTCAAGTTATGTATACAAGGTTTATATATATTTGTTTTTTTTGTTTTGTTGGTAATGGGGCCTGAACTCTGGGCCTTGGATGCTGTCCCTCAGCTCTTCAGCTCAAGGCTAGCTCTCTACCACTTGAGCCACAGCACCACTTCCAGCTTTTTCTGCTTACATGGTGCTGAGGAATCAAACCCAGGGCCTTGTGCATGCAAGGCAAGCACTCTACCACTGAGCCATCTGCCCAGCCAAGGTATATACATATATATATATACATATAACAAATTAATTTCAAACTGAAGTATGTATCTAGTCCCTAAGGTATCTCGTGTATATCAAATATTCTAAAATCCAAACAAAATCTAAAATCCAAACAAATTTCAAAATCTGAAATTCCATCACAAGCATTTTGGATAAAGGATACTCAACCTGACTTTACTTCTTTTATTTGGTACTTGGTTTGAGGAACAGTATAAAATAGCTTTTAGTTTATCTACTCAACTAAAACATACATTTAATATTTTTGGGGGGGAGAGGGGTCGGGTCGTGGTGCCTGAACTCTTGGCCTGGGCGCTGTCCCTCAGCTCTTCAGCTCAAGGCTAGCGCTCTACCACTTGAGCCACAGCACCACTTCCGGCTTTTTTCTTTTTGCTTATGTGGTGCTGAGGAATCAAACCCAGGGCCTCATTCATGCAAGGCAAGTGCTCTACCATTGAGCCACCATCCCAGCCCCTACATTTAATATTTAACTAGATAGCACTGAATATTGGCTAGAGTTAAATCTACCCTTGAAAAAATATTTTAACTAATCATAGAATAACAATATGGAAATAAAAGCTTTTTTTTATTCTACTATATTATTGTCTAAATTGTATTGTCTGCTTAGTAGGCTGTTATTTAAGAGATGTCTTTCTTCAGAATCCTTACTTACAGCTTAGTTAATTGATACATTAGCTTAAAATTTTTATTTTTTTAATTTACTTCTCAAAATGTTATCCTTTTAATGCTCCTTTCTATTTTATTGCTTTGAGACAGATCAGAACCAACTGGATTTCTTTTAAAGTTTAATCCTTCTCTCAATGTTGTTGATAAAGTACACCAAAACACTCCACTCCATTGGGCAGTTGCATCTGGAAATGTCAATGCAGTTGATAAACTTTTGGAAGCTGGTTCTAGCCTAGACATCCGAAATGTTAAGGTATGACCAGGTATTTATCTCTTATTGTTTATTACAGCTTCAGTTAGACAGAAGATTGATAATTTAATATACATACCTATGCATTTTATTTTTGGATACCACAAGACAAATACTAACAATAGTTATCTTTAAAATAAATGTGTTGAGTCTATAATTCTGGTGAAAATGTTTTAAAATCCTTTAATATATCAAAAGTATAACTGAGTTTTTGTGTGTTTTTTTAAAGGGAGAAACACCTCTTGATATGGCTCTACAAAACAAAAATCAGCTCATTATTCACATGCTCAAAACAGAAGCCAAAACAAGAGTTAACCAAAAGTTCAAGCTTTGGAAATGGTTACAGAAATGTGAGGTATTTTCATGTAGAGCCTGTTCTGTGGAATTTTAAAATGTTTATTTTTTAGGGTAATGTGGGAGAGCAAAGAGCTTTCTGTGATGTATTATATCTTTGATTATATCTTCCCATGTACCCCACAACCCAAAATTGGAAATTTGATATTTCATTGAATACGAAGTGATGGTCCTCAGCTAGATGGCTATAAAACTGTGTGTTTCTTTGTGCATATTTTTGTGTACTTTCATATTTCTCTAATGAAAAAAATTAAAATGTAAATGGATTTGATTCATAGACAAGTACTACTAGGCTTATCCAGTTTCATGTCCAGTAGACATGATTAGTATGATATCAAAAACTGAACTCCTCTTGATCATTTTTCTACCCCTAGCTAGGCTTTCCACATCTCAATAGGTAGCAACTTGAACTTTCCAATCATCATTTGTTCTATCATACAATATACCTCTGTTGGTATGGCTTTGGCTGTTTCTGCCTTTAGTTTATATCTAGAATCTGATCCCACCTAGGCACACTCCACCAAAGCCATGTCAGTCTGGCAGATGAAGCTTTGGGAATGTTAGATCCTGTCATTAATCTCAAATTCCTTTGATGTCTCTTTCCCAGAGTAAAAGCTAAGTCCTCTCAATAGCCTGCTAGACTTCATGTGACTCAGTTTTTTTATATACCATAAAATTAACACATTTGTCTGTCTTCCCAGTTAGAATTTAAGTTACATAAGAAAAAGACCTTAAGTTCATTGATTTGTTCCAGTGAAGTATATTTATGGAACAAATAAATAGTATGACTCATTTGTAAAAGTGTTATTTCTGGAATTTAGCGCTGAGATACACATTTAAAAATTTTTTTCTTCTCATTTTTTAATTAAAAAAATTTTTTTGTAGTATCAGCTTGTGAATACTAGTGTTCTATCACTTGAGCTGTATCTATTTTTGAGATAAGGTCTCCCTAACCTAACCCATAAGACTATCCTTGAACTTGAGATCTTCCTGCCTTTGTTTCCCAAGTAGGCAGGCATGTATCACCACACCCAGCTCTTATTTCTGTTTTGAGATTGTGTTGCTTATATGTAAGTCTAAATTTATTTTAAGAAAAAAATCTAAACTTACTTTGTGTCACCAAGCAAATTAGAATAGAAAACATTTAAAAGATTAAATGATATTATTCATCCCACAATAGGCTCAGAGAAATTAAAATGGCAAGGTATATTTTTCCTTTTTGCTATTGCAAAGCCTTGCTTGCTTTCATGGTCTAGTAACTTGTAGCTAAGGGACTGTGTTGCACAAATGTGGAACCTTGCTTCTGTGCAGACAGACTGTTGGTTTACATTTATTCTTTTAACTTTGTTATAGAAAACCTGAGTCATTGTCATCCTCAATAAATATTGCATGCCAGGTGCTGGTGGCTTATGCCTACAATCCTAGCTATTCAGGAGGATTGAGGTTCAAAGCCAGCCCAGGCAGGAAAGTCTCTAACATTCTTATCTCCAGTAAACTACTCAGAAAAAGCTGGAAGTGGAGCTGTGGCTCAAGAGGTAGAGTGTTAGTCTTAAGTGAAATGAAGCTCAGAGATAGCACCCAGGTCCTGTGTTCAAGATGCAGGCCTGGCAGAAAAAGGATGGAAGGAAGGAAGGAAAGGAAGGAAGGAAGGAAGGAAGGAAGGAAGGAAGGAAGGAAGGTAGGAAGGAAGGGGGGAGAGTGGATGGTGGAGAAGGGAAGGGAAGAGAAGGAAGGAAGATATTTCAATCTTTTATCTCCATGTGAAGTTTGGAATGGAGAACCTTACCTTTGTGAAAATTTCCTGGCTTATGCGCAATATTCTTTCACTAGGACCAGCCCATCTGGTCCAACTTCTGCCCCTTTGTACGTACACACAACCTTTTTTTTTTTTTTTTTTTGGTCAGATTTGAGCTTGAACTCAGGGCCTCAGCACAGTCCCTGAGCTTTTTTGCTCGAGGTTAGCACACTACCAGTTTAAGCCACAGCCACAGTACCACTTCCCATACACACAATCTTGAGGATATTGGTTTTTTTGTTTTTTTGTTTTTTGTCGGTCTTGGGGCTTGAACTCTGGCCCTGAACACTGTCCCTCAGCTCGTCAGCTCAAGACTAATGCTCTACCACTTGAGCTACAGTGCCACTTCCCGTTTTGTAGTGGTTTATTGGAGATAAGAGTTTCATAGACTTTCCTGCCCGGGCTGGCTTTGAACCGTGATCCTCAGATCTCAGCCTCCTGAGTAGCTAGGATTACAGGAATGAGCCACTAGCGCCTGACTGAGGATTTTGTTCATCCATAGCTTTACCACCTACATACTGATCAATCTTAAGTATTCTGAAATGGTAAAACTTGCCTTTTTGATATTTCCTGGATGTTGTTAGGTGCTTTAAGCTTCACCTGCCCCAAACCAAGCCTATCTTTTCTGCAGAACTGTTTCCTGTAACGCTTTTTTATTGGGAGGTGATGCAACCTAGTGCTCAAGTTGAAGCTTTCATCTCCCCTCAATTGAGTCTTGAATATATTGATTTTTTGAGTGGTCTCTTTAGCTTGCTTTATGTTTTCTGATATAGAGTGCTATATGAAAACTGTTAGTTTTGGAAAATCAGTTTTCATGGGTATTTTCCTTAAAAAATTGGTAATAATGATAACAAATAATAATAATAACCCCACCATTTCTTTTTTGGGGGAAGGAGGGCAGTCCTGAGGCTCGAACTAAGGACCTGGGGACTGTCCTTGAACTTCTGTTCCTGAATAGGCTAGCACTCTACCACTTGAGCCACAGCACCACTTCTAGCTATTTCTGTTTATGTAGTACTAAGGAATCAAACTCAGGGCTTCATGCATGTGAGGTAAGCACTCTACCACCAAGCCATATTCCCAGCCCCCCACCATTTCTTGAAAGAAGAGAAGCAAAACAAAATATGGTTAAACAACACTTCAGGGCCTGTAGGGCTTTTGAGAAATTATCTAGGATGTATAAATTGCTTAGATTTAATGAGAAAATCTTTGTGCTAGTTCTGTTGTACTCTTTTTATATACTTAGGAATTTCTTGTACAGAATAAATTATTATTATTAACTACATAGGTGATTCTAAAAATTTGACTCTCTTAGCTCTTCCTGCTGCTGATGCTCTCTGTGATTACCATGTGGGCTGTTGGATACATTCTAGACTTCAATTCAGATTCTTGGCTTTTAAAAGGATGTCTTCTAGTAACATTGTTTTTCTTGACATCTTTGTTTCCAAGGTATGTATATTAGTCTTTCAAGGCTGGTTACCGTATTTCCAATGTAATTGCTTATTTCTGTTGTTGATTAGCCAAAATCACAGATTTTTTTGAGTTATAAATATGAACCATATAACAGTATCCTGGGCCTGATGGAAAGGAAAAGCTTTGTTGCATATTTTTTTATTAAAAACAATTTGCTTATTCCAATACCTGATTGACTTGATTACACAGTTTGCTGTTTGAATTGTTTTAGTAAATAATAGAGATTTTTATAGTTATTTTGCATGTGAAAGCTTATTTTTCCATTTTTCAAAAATGTTCTTGCTTTTGGAAAAAAATATAAGTTCATTTTATATTTTTGCTCGATGATTTGTGTGTGTGTATGTGTGTGTGTGTGTGTGTGTGTTAAAACAACCTAATTAAAGTGGCTTTAAAATAGTAACTATGGGGTGATTGTTCTACTTCTATGAATATATTTATAGTTGTTTGTATTTAGTTTATGGTTGAGACAGTTTGCATTGTTCCAAGTCAAGCAAGTGCTTAGGACAATGTCTGACATGTAGTCGTTACTCAATGATAATGTCACATCCCATTCTTTTCTCTCTGTCTCAGTAAAGTGGTGTCCAATTCCTCACATGAATGTGGATGTCATCCTTGAGTTTATGTCACTTCTTTTCTCACTTCCCACATGTAGTTCTCAGGAATGTACTTCTCATCTACTTAGAGGCACATTAGGTCAAGCCTCCTGACTGGTTTCTTAAATACACCCCCTGTAATGTACAGATCATCTTTCCTGGCTTATATCCCTCTCATAGTTGTTATTGTGCTCAGAATAAATTCTAGACTCTGTCTGTGAGGTGTTAGGTGATTTGTTCCTTCCCCACTGACTTTATGCCTTCTCCCTCCATCCTATCACACTCTCCACCTTGTTTCTGGAACTCATCAAGCTTTCCTACCTATGGCTCTTAGGTCTTGCTAGTGCCCTTGTGTAGTGTTCTGACACTATATGTAAGTAGCTGGAGAAGTGACTCATGCTAGTTCAAACATACCTTAGTGAGAGTCCATTGCTTATTCTCTTCATAGTACTTATTCTCCTGCGGTAAATGCTAAGTAAGTAAAGCACATAAAACTAGGAAATTTGTTTCTTCTATGGAGCATTTCCATCACTGAAGGAAAAGAAAAAATATAATGATGATGATCCATATAAAAGAATCTACCAGGACATGTGGTGTTGCTATTTACAGGGTATCATTATGAAAGTTTCTAAATCCTTTTGCTTGCCAACGTTTTCTGGATAAGCATGCATTGCTTTTGTCCTGAAAAAAAAAAATCATTAGATGAATTTTATTAGCGTAGGACAATTGGATATGAATGAATTAAATTAAATTGAAGCTCAAATTTCTGAAAATTACCAAAACACCTAAAACTGTTATTCAGAAAACTTACAACTTAAAAATATTTATTTATTTTTCATTGATTGGATTGACTTGATCACTAAATAAATTTTAATCTAAACCATTAGTTATTATAGTTACCATGATCATAACCTTTCCCCCTGGTTGGCTTCTCAGCTTAATCTTTCCAATCTCTGTTCCTGAATAGCTAGGGTTGCAGATGTAATTACCATACCAGGCCCCAAACATACGCTTAAGTTTTCTCATGTGTAAGATTGGTTTAAATAGTGCATGTCTGTTGCCTCCTGGAAAGTAGTACATTACCTAGAGTAAGCACCTAGGAAGTGAAAGCTACTATTATTGTTATTAAGGAATTTGGAACTAGAATTAACATGAATTATGCTAATATTCTACTTCACTAATATCTGTGTCTTTTTTCCCCCTAGGTTATTGGTTGGATATAAGAACCTTGTATATTTACCAACAGTCTTTTTGCTAAGTTCCATTTTTTGGATATTTATGACTTGGTTCATCTTATTTTTTCCTGATATCCTTTCAGCTTAAATTTAGATGTATATCTCATTTGCCTCTAAAAAATAATAGTGCCATTGTTAATCTGTATATTTGAAAAGATACAGGGACTGCAGCTAACTTTTAATTGCATATATTTATTGGTTCTGATTGAATGTTCTATACTGAAAACCTACTTGACTGGAAGTAAACTCAGCTAACTGTGAAAACAATAAGTATGGTATTTATTCCTTATAACAGGGGAATAGTAGAATGAATTCTTGTTTTACTTGGACCTGTAGTAATATGTTGGACTGTTTCTGAGATTTATTTCAAGATCAGATGGTTCTTTTAATTTGGTCAACAGTTACAGTGGATGAATTAATCTGGGTGCTGAAATGGCTTATGTAGGAGAGATTTTCAGGAAAATGTGGCTTTTCTGATAATAATAAATGGCATTTAAAAATAAATAAGCAGCATTATCTGAGGCAGTGATTCTCAATCCAGAACAAAAATAACTTTGCTTTGCCACTCAAAGTATATGTGACACGGGTTTCAGAAAACGTGTGTGCTCAGCCTTATTCTATTTAAAAAATTATGGCAAATAGAAATATACTTTTTAGCATATTCCTTTCATTTCTATATTATATGTATCTATAGGTAGAATCTTAAGATGTTTGAATTGACAGTGTGGAATGTTTTACTGGCTGGTATACCATGAAATGGTAAAACTGATGTAGGCATCTGTCTGAACCTGCTGCTGATAGGGCATTGAGTCAGTAGGTGGCACACTTTACCATAGATCAGTGTTTTCAAGTGGAATGTGCATAGCTCTTGTAACTTCCCTATAAACCTACCCCAAATTTTCAGACTAATGTTGCTTCAGGTTTTCCAGTCAGGATATGAGTGGGGGCTTCTCTTCCCAAAGCCTTTGATCTATGATGGAAAGAGGAGCTGGAATACTGTGAAAAGCATATGGTCTTTGGAATCAGGCAGAATTTTCCTTCTTTCTTTCCTTCTTTCTTTCCTTCCTTCTTTCCTTCTTTCTTTCCTTTTTTCCTTCTTTCTTTTTCTTTCCTTCTTTCCTTCCTTCTCTCTTTCTTTCTTTCTTTTGTTCTTTCTTTCTTTCTTTCATTCGTTCGTTCCTTCCTTCCTTCCTTCTTTTTTTCTTTCTCTAGTTAGCATTAGGCAAGTTATTTGATTTTACCGTCTCAGTTTTTGTGTAAAGTGAGGTAGCAGTTCCATTCTCATGGGGGTGTCTCTAAAGGCTCAGCCACTGTACCCATTACCACATTTGCATTGTGTACTTAATATTGTTACTGGATGAAATCTACAGTATGTGCAGGTTGAAATTTTAGGAAAAATTTCCTTAAGGTTCGCTTCTCAGGTGAATAGCTCCTTTAGGTGCGTTTTATGTGTTCAACAAGTAATATATTTTGTTCTTATGAGGGGGAGTGAATGGAAGTGAACATAATCTTACTGATAAATTTGAAGGTATGAGTAAGACTCAGGAAAGAAATGGTGATCCACTGAATGTCATGTTTAGGATACTAGTTATACCTAAACTTACAAAGCCTTGCTATGGAGAGACATGATATAGTTTCAGTATAAAAGAATTAGAAACCAGATGTGATGGCTTGTGCTTGTAATCTCAGCACTCAAAAATCTGGAGGCTGACCTGGACTACATAACAAATCTAAGCCATCCTTAGTCAGTAGCAGACAGTCTCAAAAAACAAAAGCTGGGTGTAACTCAGTGATACAGTGTTTGCTAAGCATTCACAAGGCCTTGGGTTGGATCCAAACACCACACAAAAAGGAAAAAGAGGATAGGAAGGAAGGAAGAAGGGCAGGCCAATGTGTCCAGTGACTCAGTTGTCAAGGAAATCAGAATATTTTCATATTATAAGTATTTGAGTGTCCAAAGGACAACAGCAATCTCACTGTCCTCTGCATGGATCACTACACACTCAATGTGTGTTTGCTTTTTTAAATTCTATTCTTTTAGGGATAGTAATGAATAGGAATAGAAAGAAGCATGGCCAGCAAACTTGTGTATGAAACAACATTGCTATTATTCTTTTTTTTTTGAGGGGGGGGTCCGGTTGTAGGGCCTGAACTCTGGGCCTGGGCGCTATCCCTCAGCTCTTCAGCTCAAGGCTAGCGCTCTATCACTTGAGCCACAGCGCCACTTCTGGCTTTTTTCTTTTTGCTTATGTGGTACTGAGGAATCGAACCCAGGGCCTCAGGCATGCAAGCAAGCACTCTACCACTGAGCCACCTTCCCAGCCCTTGCTATTATTCTTGAGGTATAATTATTGCTTCCTACTTCCAAGTGTTTGAGTATCTTACCATCTTATCACTTAAAAAACTGTTGAACAAATGTAGGATTAAATTTATTATGTAGAGCAAATCTGAAGGGCAGCTATATTGAGATCTAGAGGATTCAGTAAATGAAAATCAATCCATCACATTGTAGAATGTCCAATTTTAGATCTATATAGAGAGACTTTAACTGCAGAAGAATCACCAGCTCACAGGAGATGCTGACACACATATAAATAACTACAGTCTAAAGACCATAGAAAAAGCATTCTTAGGCTTACAGAAGGGAGAATATCCTCTCCAGGGCTCCAGAAAAGATCAACAGAAGAGGAAGAAGTAAGTCTTGAGGAAAATTGGGACTTGGACATGCTAAAATTTTGTCATTGGAGGAAGTTGAGAGTGTTTATAGTCAGGCAGCCACATGAACAAGGGCAAGAAAGCAAGGTATATGTTTGGATTTATGTGAAGGGACAAGGGAATTCACTTTACTTGGAGTGAAGAATCCAGTGATTTCCTGGCATTAATCTTGTTAAGTTATTTAGAGCAGGAGTTTCAAATTCAATTAAGTTCACTTTGTAGTATCACCATGTGACTCAATCAAACATGTATGTGTGTGAGTGTCTTAACATACATTAACCACCCAAAGGAGATTTTATTGTGACATTTTTACACATGTATGCAAAGTATTCCAGTCAATGTTCCCCATTCCTTCCCCAATCAGATAAGTTTTTGAGAATGTGCTATATATTGCTTAAGACTTAATGGGGGAAAAATAAACCGACGGGATTTTTTAAAAGATGTTCCCCTTTATTTTGTTTAGTAGTATTCTTAGTTCATTCCAAGTGAACTTCGTTAAAATTTAACTTCACCCAAACTCTCTGGTTCTTATCTTTCTCTTAAAGCTAGGTCCAGCTGCTGATAAACCATGATAAACAACCTACATGATTTGTTCCTGCCTATCTGAACCAAATGTGGTTGTGCTGGTCTCTGGTTAAAATGGCACTGTTTATGCTTCAGTGTAGGAATGAAGCCTCTGGGGATCTTATGAAAATCCAGAGTCTTGATTGTGTAGGTCTGCTGTGAGGCCTGAAGTTCAGCTTTTTCTGCTGATGTATGGACCACTCTTTGAGCAATAAAGGTTTAAGAGTCTTTTAGGACCACTTTGAAGTTTGACATAAGTTAGCTTGGCAACACATTGTAAGATACATACAGTTACTGTGTTGATAATTATTTAAATTGAGCAAAGAAAATTGGTTTTCTCCTACCTTACTGATTTATTAGTACATATTTTTCTCCATAGCAAAATTTTACCTTTTACATAAAGAAATTGTAGCACTTTAATAAACATTTCAAAGCAAATAATGTTTATCCTCAAACTGTTTTATCTATAATGGTCTTCTTTTTCAAATAGTATGTGATTTATAATCATTTTACGTGAAGAAGGGTTTCTTTTTTTTTTTTTTTTGTCGGTCGTGGGCTTAAACTCTGGGCCTAGGCACTGTCCCTCAGCTCTTCAGCTCAAGGTTAGCGCTCTACCACTTAAGCCACAATGCTATTTCTGGTTTTCTGGTGGTTAATTGGAGATAAGAGTCTCATGGACTTTCTTGCCTGGGCTGGCTTTGAACCACAATCCTCAGATCTTAGCCTCGTGAGTAGCTAGAATTACAGGCATGAACCATTGGCACCCGGCAAGAATGTTTTTTTTTTTTTTAACAGTTATCAGGATATTTAAACTTTCCACTAAGAAATTCTTGGAAGCATTCATCTGCTATATAGAGAAGTAGTGTAAGTTGGGAGCCAGGTGTAGTGGCTTAAGTCTAATCCTAGCCCCCCTGAAAGTCAGAGATCAAAATCAGCTGGGCATAAAAGTTTTTGAGACACTCTCTCAACCAATGGCTGGGCTTATTGTCTCAACTACAAGGAAATGCACAATGGCTGGGAACAGTGACATGCTTGTCATACAGGAAAGTAGAAGAAGGATTGCTGGCCTGGTCAAAGCAAGACCCTGCTCAAAAGTAAACAATGCAAAAAGGGGTTTGAGTCATGGCTTAAATAGCATAGTACCTGCATAGCAAGCTTGAGGCACTGAGTTCCATCTCTCGTAGAACTACACCCCCTCAATTTTTTTTTTGTTTAAATTTCTGACCCAAGTCATTTGTTTTCTTTGAAAATTTTATTAAAATGATCAGAGAATATTTTTTCTGGGTACTCGCAGGAGAACCACAATTGTGTCATTAAATGGTTAATTTATTTGAGTCTTGAATGCTTTTCCAACTTCAGAAATTGTGTCTATTCTTATCAATATTTAATACAGTCTCATAATGAGGAAGCATTAATTATTAACCGAGTAACAGCAAATTCCTGTAGGATTAGAAGTTAAGAGAGGGCCACATTTGGAGATAGGGATGTGTACTTAGGGAAGTTGGGGGCACAATGTAAAGAAGATAAGTTCTTATGCACCAGTGATGAAGTTTGCTTATATCACAATTGCTCTTACTAGTAGAAGGTTGACATATTCCTTAACTAGTCTTGAACATACAGCAGGTAGCCCTTTCTATTTTGTTTTCATTTTCAGCATTTTAGCTTTTCTCTACTTTTTCTACAAAACTTGGGCAACTGATCCAGGCTTTACTAAGACTTCTGAAGAAGAAAGGAAAGTGGTGAGTTTCCTTTGTATTTTGTTTGTTCATATTTTGCTTTTTAATCAGAGGATATATAAACTTTATAAGGTTACGGCCATGTTGTTTTTTGCCAGTTGTATCTCTAATTCTTGCAACCTAATGGATATAACATAAATAAATGTACAGGGATTAAATCAGCAAAAATACAATTTCTTTTTTTTTTTTTTTTTGGTCAGTCGTGGGGCTTGAACTCTGGGCCTGGGCGCTGTCCCTCAGCTCTTCAGCTCAAGGCGAGCGCTCTACCACTTGAGCTACAGGGCCACTTCTTGTTTTCTGGTGGTTTATTGGAGATAGGAGTCTCACGGTCTCTCCTGCCCGGGCTGGCTTTGAACCGCGATCCTCAGACCTTAGCCTCCTGAGTAGCTAGGATTACAGGCGTGAGCCACCAGCGCCCGGCAAAAAATACAATTTCTTTATACTTAATCTTTTGCCATTTATGTATGACAGCTTTTTAAAATCCTTTTCTGTTTTATAACATTTAGATAAGTATCAGCTAGCCTAAATTCCTCACTTACTACATGGAAGTTAACTAGGCATGGACCAAGAGAATTACTTCTCTTAATAACTGAGGAGATACACCTTTTTGTTCAACTGTGAAGTTGTCAGATGACAGAATATGCTTTCCACAAGCTCATGAATGCTTACAAGTTAGGTAGAATAATATCTTTTGTAATTTAAAGCCAGTCCTCAAAGACTGGTGGTCCTTAGTGCATATAGCCATTGGTTTTGATTTAGATTTGATATATTGTTCCTTCTTAATGATGTGTATATAAATGTATACTTATTTTTCTCTAGCAGATTATAACTGGGGGAAGTTTGTAATTCATGACAAGAAAGTGATACAGGAGGTGGCACAAGTTTGTTGTATTTAATAACTACTAGCTGAAAAGGCAGCCTGCAAAAGTGATAGTATTTCAAGCACAGAATGATTTGGTGACAAGAGTTCCAAATTGCTTTTCTAGCTACTTCACTTATGAGCAAGAGATGTGAGAATGATATATAACCATGCATAATATGTTCTCCAATAAAATAGAAGTCATAAGGTCAAATTTTGTGTCTTTCAGAATATTGTTACCCTTGCAGAAACTGGCTCCCTGGATTTCAGAACATTTTGTACATCATGTCTTGTGAGTCTTTTTCCCATAAATTTGTTTTCCATAGTAAAAGAAAATTCTTGGTCATATTGCTGTTAAAAGCAATTGGCAAATCTTCATGGCATATTTATATATTTTTGTTTCTACCCAATTCTATTTTTGTACTATTGTCAGGAATAATTTTTTCCTTGAACATATGGAAGAATGTTGGTACTCTTGTCTGTGGTTAATTATCTTTGAGAAGTGTGTTTTGTTTGCTTTTCTCTATAAAGCATATATTCTAACTTCAAATCAGAGGCTTATAATATCCTAGAAACTATTTAATGAAACCTTTTATTTTGCATTTGGGGAATCATAGCCTAGAAGAAATAGTACATTATTGGAAAGTTATTAGAAAGGCCAGAAATGGAACTCAGGTGTCTTTCTGGTTTGTTTGTTTTTTTTTTAGTTCAGTGCTTAATCTGCTTTATGGTACCACCTTAGTTCCTCTTAGCCTTGTGCTGTGAAATTAAATCCCCTTAGTGGTAGTTTAGTTCCAGTAGACATAAGGAAGCAAATATTAATCATATCTTCCATATCTTCTATGTGAATTGATCATTTAGGATTGTTTGTAATGGTGTTTTTATGATCACTTAGGATTAAAATTTTGCTCATGATTTGCTAATAGATTGAGACACTTTTGCTTAGCCCTCTCTTAATTGCCCACTTAGATAAGGAAACCATTAAGGTCACTCCATTGCCATGTGTGCAACTCTTGTGTGGCTCGATATGATCAACACTGCTTTTGGACTGGACGGTGTGTAGGTGAGATACCTCATTTTCCAATTGCTCTTATGAACTTAGGTATGAACTTAGGTATATATTTGGTTATGTGTGTAATTCCTGGAAAAAATGGACATTGAAGATTCCCATTTTGTAGCTTTTTTGTGAAAATCATCTTTACAATGTAATACTTGAAAAACTATTGAGGTTAGTCATGACAGTTACTGTCAATTTTATACTATTTTAGAGTTTGTAGAACTCTTTCATACATGACATGCAATTTGATCACCAGAAGGTCACTTTAATAGTATAAGTCTTTCACTCCAAATGTCATGAACTTTCCATATGCTATGCCTTCCTTATATTATTTGTGTTTATCCTCTGTGCTTGCCTTCTTTAAGATTTATTGAGGAGCTAGAATTAGAGGTGGCAGCAGTCATTGGACAGCCTTTCACCTTGGGAGGAATATTCCTTTTCCCAGCCTCTAGCCCTGAGTTTCCACTGAACTATCCACAGTAAAAGCCAGGGGTTTCTTATGAGGAATTTCTAAGGAGCTATGATTGTAAGTCTTCCGTAGAGGGCCCGCTTTTACAGTTTTGAGGAACAAGAGGCTACCTTAGCTCAAGTGGTTTGTTTGGTGTGTTTTGGTGCTCTCTTCCTTGAGAAAGTTGGCTAGAAAACTTCTGAAGTCTTAAGCTTCCTGAACCTCATCCACTCATTGAATGGCAATAAGAAGATGTTGTAATGAGCTTGTATGTATACATGTATGTGTATGTATAAGTATACATGTATGTATATATATAAGTTTTGTTTTGTGGTGTTTTGCTGATATTGAGGTTTGAGCTCTGAGTCTTATACTAGTGCTCTACCACTTGAGCACACACAGGCTCAAGAAATAGTATGCTGTCATCGACTTATAACAGGTATTATCTCCTCTTGTTGTTATAAATATGAACTCTGGATCAGAGAAACTAAATGACAACTATTCATAAGCCCAGCTTTCCTAATTCTAGTGGGTATTACTCCTGCTGCTAGATATTGCTACTTTAGGAAAAATAGGAGCATGATATGATACCTGAAGAGCATTGATGTGATTTCATCTCCAAAATCAAGAAGGCAACACAAGCGAGGATTTGGTTACATGGCACTCTATTCTTTTCTTTCCTTCCACAGATTTTTTGTAGGCTGTGATTATACCTCTTAGCCATATCCAGTTTCTTGTAACATGTATTATGCATTGCTTCTCTTTGGATTTATCTTTTGATGATTACCTATCAGGTCAGTCCTTGGGGTTCTTCAGTTGTACTTCTATAAATACGTTCTATAGAAGGTTTTGATTACTCAAATTCCTATGTACTCTCCTTTCTGAAGCACAGTGTAGACCAAGCCAGAGCTGTGTTTGCTTACTTAACTTTTTTTCTACTCAAAGTGTCTTCTTTTAGGTAAGTAGGGATTAAATAGCAGTTAACATGGACAGTTGATTGTTTCATATCAAAACTACTTGGTTTTGGTTTAGTAGTATTCAAAAGCAATTGCTTTATTTCTGTTTTACTTTGATGAGGGCTTTTGACAAGACAGTGGTTACTAAGATATGTGGGAAAACACTACAAGAAAAAGTAAATATGAGCTGGGTGCTGGTGGCTCATGCTTGTTATCCAAGTTACACAGAAGGCTGAGATCTGAGGATTGTGGTTCAAAGCCAGCCTGGGCAGGAAAGTCCATGAGACTTTAATCTCCAAGTAACCATCAGAAAACCGGAAGTGGTACTTTGGCTCAAGTGGTAGAGCACTAGCCCTGAACTGAAGAGCTGAGGAACAGCGCCCAGGCCCAGAGTTCAAGCCTGACAACTGACAAAGAAAAAAAAAAAAGTAAATATGCTTTTGTTTCTCTTTGATTTAGGTTTTGGCAACCATCACTATTACATATTTTTCTTATTTTTCCTTTCCCTGGTATGTGACTGGATTATCTATGGAACCTTCATCTGTAAGTATAATTTTTTCTTACAGTCTTATATATCCACACCTGTCTCATTCTAGCTAGATAACTAAACTATACCTCTAATACAAACACAAGACCTTTAAGACTCTCTTAATACTGGGAAGCTTCAAAAAATGCTGAAAGAGGTTAGTTCTTAGTACTTGGGAAGAGAACCTTATAAATGAGAAGTGGTCAAAAACAGAAGTTCACTCAAGGTGCTAGTAGGTTTGCTCCCAGTGAAGGGGAAAATCTAGACGATCAAGTTCAAAGAAGAAGGTATTAAGTAAATAAAATAAAATAAAGAACAAGAAATAGTGGAGGAAAGGGACTTGGTGATTTAAGAAACAAAACTGAAAGCATATGTCATTTGGTAAGTATAGAGTAAAACTGAGAATTGATGGCAAAATGAGCAGTTGAAGATTAGGAATAAAATCTTAGAAACTTTAGTTCATTTATTCTTCAGCCCTGAGAAAAGAAAATAACTTGGAGCAACTATGGACAGGTTTTAAATTGAAGCAGGAAGGACTTTGTTTAGCTTCTTTTTTTGGTGGGGGGGAAAGGAGTTTCTTACTTGGAACTCAGGACTGTATGCTCAGATGAGTACTCTACTACTTGAGCCATGCCTTCAACCATTTTTGCTTTGGGTTATTTTTCAGATAGTCTTTTTTGCCTATGCTAGCTTGGGAATGTGATTTTCCTACCTATGCCTCCCACATACCTGGGAATACAAGAGTATACTTATACCTGTCTAAGTTAGGGTCTTGTCAACCATTTGCCTGGGCTGGCATCAGATGGTGATCCTCTTGATTTCTTAAATAGCTGAATTACAGAGCCACTGAACCTAGCTTAGTTAGCTGTTAAATCTTACAATTTTCAGTGTAGTTACCTAAGGGAAAAATCTGTAGTGCTTGTTTAAATTTCATTTTTGATAGAGTTCCTTCTATGCTCATCCCCTAACTTATTAATTCCCTTCTAAAAATATCCAGTGTACAGATTTTGCTTGTTTTAGTCTTTCATGTTTAGAAGTTCTTAGTATCTGTGTGAGATGGATTGCTTTTTTGTCTTGATATAGATATGATATGAGCTTCAATTACCTTGTCTGACCATTTCCTACCTGACCCCCTGCTTCTGTTAGAGTGCTTTTAACTAAATGTAACCATCCCAGTAACTAAATGTAGCCATCCCATTCTCTAGTAGCCTTAATATAGTCAAAAGATTAAGATTATGTCTCATTTTAGATATGGCATAAATAAGACTTTTGACATTACTTCCCAGAGACTGCCTTTTTAAGGTTTGATGATAAAGCATATTCTTAGAAAAGCTTTCTAAGTTGGCCCATGGACTAGCTTGTCCCTTGGACTTGATCCTAAGGAAGAGAAGCCAAATTTTACACCACTCTTGTCTCTCCTCACTAAAAATAGTCACTTTCGTTTCATGTCTGAATCAAGGATAAGACTATAGTGATAAGGAGACAAGCAATTTTCCATCACACTCAAGTTTTTATTACACACCCCCTATGCCCCTACTCACCTTATCTCTTTTCTCTGGCTTTGTTTTTATACTATTTATTTTATTTATTTTTGAGGAACTAGCTTACAACTCTAGCTACACAAACTTTGTTTTGTATTCTAACAATATTTATATTGAAATTATGTCACTATTATTCCACAGACAGGAAACATGGGCTTTTGTGTTTTGATGGTTTCTGGAGTTCAAACTCAGGGCCTTATGTCTGCTATACAGGCAGTCGACCTACCACTTGAACTATGCCCTTAGCACAGGAGATATACACTTGTACTTTGTGCACCATTTCTCTAGTAAAGCCTCACTGCCATTCACCTCCTTTATTTATATTAACGATATTACAGTAGAGTCCTGCTATATGGCCTCCTCTTCCTGTGATCCAATAGCAGTTACTTCTGCCTCTGCATAGCCTTCATCCATTTCATCTTTTGTGAGGTATGTTTTCTGTGTGGACAGTAAAAAGACCATAATGTCAGCAGTCTACAGGTTAAGGTGACAAAGGAATTAGATCAGTATCAAGAACTGTATAACTGTCAGAGCTATTTAAAGATGAAAATTATTGGCTTGAAACAATGTCTTTCTCATAAACCTTTGACTCCTTGGTAAGAACACATTAGCATAAATTAAATTATTATATTGCATAAGATAATGTGGATAGCCACTTGCAGCTGTATTTTTGTATCTTTGATACTAAATCTGAAATCAGTTTTTCACTATGAGAACTTAAGTGTAGGTGTCGGTCATTTTATACTATCAGAAAATTTCCCAAAAGCTGAAAGAAAGTAGATATTATTCCCACTCTGCAGCTGTTTACTCCACCTCTTGATAGAAATGTGTGTGTGCGTGTGTGTGTGTGTGTGTGTGTGTGTGTGTGTGTGTGTGTGTGTGTGTGTATACAAGAGGGGGCAGGGGGCAGATATCAGTTGTATAGGGTACATCTTTCTCTCATAATGAAAAGTTTTAGAGTAGAATTTTCCTTATTTCCTTCATTCTTATTCTGTGGTGATTGCCCTTAGAATGCTACTGGCCCATATTCATGAGAGATGGCCAGGAATCAAATGAGACTCAAAAAGAAAAAAAAAAAGATGTATAGGACTAAAATGATCAGACAATTGAAAGCAAAGTGATGGACTCATTTTCTTCCTGCCCAGGAGCTCTTTGGAGAAATGTCTCAAACTACTTATCAGATTATCAGAGGGCTTTATGAAATTACAAGGAATAAATCTACATGATTCTCATTTCAGAAATTATTCATTCACTCTTCATGTTTAGTCAAGATGGCTATATAAGTTGTAACTTCAACCATCCCTTCCCTTTTTTTTCTGCAGCTACTTATCTGTTTTCTCCTTACTGTTGCTCTTCATGGATATAGGGTCAGTATCAAAAAGGCCATAGTGATGTTCTCTCTTAATTGGCAGACAAATGCCCTAAGGAAGAAACTGAACTGTGACTATTTAGATTTTGCTCTATATTCTTTTCTTGCTCTCTGTCACTGAGCTACTCCCCTGATCTCTATAGCCAAACACTGATCTATGCCATCATATCATGGTTATCTTTTTTTCTCTGTGAATAGAATTGCAGTGATTTTATCTTCTTGGAGATTGAACACTGGGTTTAGTGGGGGGTTTTGTTGTTGTTTGGGGTTTGGTTTTTTGCCACTTTTAAATCATGGTTTCCTTTTTTTTTTTTTTAATTCACAGATTGGTCAAATCATTGTGCTACAACATTCAGGGAAGATGGACTCTGGACCTACCTCAATCAGATTGTGGCCTGCTCTCCTTGGGTTGTATATATCTTCATGCTAGCCACTTTCCATTTCTTATGGTCAACATTTTTATTAATAAATCAACTCTTTCAGGTATGCATTTCTCATAATGCCTCTGAATATAATTTCTAATAACCTGGAATAAAGCAAAAGACTTGACTTTAAAGTTAGAAGACTTAGATTCTCATCCTACTTTTCTTGCTTCCTCTGAGTCTAGGTATGACATTTGATCAGTCTTGCATTTCAGATTCCTTATTTCTAAAATGAAGATCATTCCTGTCTACTCTCAAAAGATGATTGAGCCAGGTGCCGGTGGCTCATGCCTGTAATCCTAGCTACTCAAGAGGCTGAGATCTGAGGATCATGGTTCAAAGCCAACCCAGGCAGGAAAGTCCATGAGACTTGTATCTTCAATTAACCACCAGAAAACCAAAAGTGGCGCTGTGGCTCAAGTTGTAGAGTGTTTGCCTTGAGCTGAAGACAGCTGGACAGTGCCCAGGCCCAGAGTTCAAGCCCTATGACCAACAACAACAACAACAAAAGATGGTTAAAAGGGTTGAATAGTAAATTATTTTCTGGAGCTGAACCTAGCTAGGACTGACCTAATTTGGCCTCTTAATATTATGGTACACAGAGGTTGAGAAAGTTGCTCAAAATGAGTGGCTAAATCAAAATTGGACACTTAGTTCCTCTGACAGTCCCATTCAAAGACTCTTATATCACAGAATTAAATTATATGATATGTGAAAGAATGATGCAAAGTATATAAAGCATCATAACAAATGTGAGCTATTTTTCCTACTCTGTTGCTCAATGCATTACCTAGGTAAGTGTTAGTGGGAAGAAATGAAAGCTAGTCCCCTAACCAGTGTACTATATTTTTGGAGAAAGCAAAGCCACTAGGAAGTTTAAGGTCCAGGACCACCTTCAGCTTTCTACAAAGCTCCTGTCCCTCCCTGCTGCTGTTCTTCTATTTGCCTAATCTAATTCTCACTGTTGCTTTGACCTTACAACATAAAACTGGCAGCAGTGATCGGTACCAGCCAGTTACTGCAATACCTGACATAATTAAACATTACTCAGAAAAGCAAAAGTATTCCTCTTTTTTTTGGAAGGTAACCAATTCCAAAATAATGATGATAGAAAGAAAGGGGGGAGTCAGAGGGAAGAAAAAGAGAGAAAAGAGAAGTGTTGTCAAGGAAAAGATAATATTGAAAGTTTTTTTTTTTGTTTTTTTTTTTTTACAGTACTGGAGTTTGAACTCAGAGTCCACCTGTTTCAACTTTAATTATTTTTAAGATAAAATCTTGTACTTTTTACCTTTGCTAACTTTAGGCCATAATCCTCCTACCTACATTTCCCAGCTGGGTTTATAGGCCTGCTCTACTATGCCTACTATGTTATTTGAGATGCTGTTTTGTTATTATTGTTGTTGTTTGGTCTGACTGGCCAAGTAATCTTGTCTCCATCCTTCACATAACTGGTATTCACAGGCATGGGCCACTATTCCCAGCCTCTTGAGTGTTCATCTTAATCCTTCTAACATCATCAGCTCAGATAGTAAGAATGAATATTAGCATGAATAGTTACTAGTGTTAATTATCTTAATACTAAATTATATGTGCTTTGTATTTGCCCAAACACTATTTTTTCATAAATACTTGAGGTATATGCCAGGCCTGCCTATGTGGATATGAATAAGTCTAAGAGATGTTGAGTGCCTTGCTTATGGGCATAGGCCATAGTTAGAATTACAAGTAGATGTAATGTGTTAATATCTGAAGCATAAATTCTAATTCTCTTTTCTGACTCTTAGAACAAGTACATAGATTATGATATCCTTGATGTTTATAAAAAGGTTATATATTTATACTTTCTAAAAAATAATGGACCCAAAAGAAAATAAAAATATGTAATATGGTCCAAATTTTTCAGATAATTTTCAGAACAGACTCATTCTTAATGAGCAGAACAAATTTGTTCCTTGAAAATGTAACATTATTTAAAAATACTCGATAAGATACTGTTTGACTTCAGCAAGTAAAAATAAGCATATAGACTGCTGGTTAGGAACAGGGACTGTATCCTCACACTGAACTATGCTAGCCCCAACTCTGCTACTCTTAAAACTACAACCAGTCACTTCATTTTTCTGAGCTGCTGTTTTTGATATTTTAGCTATCTACTTTAGGTCCTTGAAACATTATTATGACTGTGGTGTAATAAGCTCCGTTTTACAGATAAGGAAATTAACATTTGACCTGTTTTGAGAAGTAAATGAGAAACATCTGAAACTTGTGGGTTTTTTTTTTAATAGTTTGGGAGTTTTTAAGCCACTTCGATTCTTACTTTTTCTTAAACTCATATATATAGAAATTCATTACTCCAGTGTATTAACTTTTTTGGCATCTTTTCAAAGAGATTCTTAGAAGAAGACACAAATGAGATAGTTGCACTGATACTGATCTTGTGTTATTTTCTTCACCCTAAACTTGTGCACTAAGGTGTTGAAAAATCTACTCATGACTATAAGCCACAGTTTGTATTAATGAAACAGTTACTTGTAACTCTTTAAGCTGGTGCACAGTGCTTTCTTGAAGGCGGATAAAAATCAATGAAAGAATCAAGAAACTATATATGAGAATACACTGTAAGGCTGCGCAATCTTTGCTGCCACCTACCATGATTCTTGGTTAGATAGAAGGCTATCATACAGCCTTTGGAGGAGAGACTAAATGTTTGCTATCCTTTGGTGTACCCCTAAGAGTGATGGAGCCTTGATGTACTTTTCATATATCTTCCAATAATCTTTTTCAGATTGCTTTTCTGGGCCTGACCTCTCATGAGAGAATCAGCCTGATAAAGCAGAGCAGGCATATGAAACAGGCATTATCCCTCAGGAAAACACCATACAAGTAAGTGAGTTTTACTTTGGCAAATAACTTCCTTACCTAGTGCTACCACCCATGGGTGTACTGCAGTTCTCTATCCTGATATCTGATGCCATTGAACCTCTCTTTCTTGGGAACAGATGTCGGGTTTTGAGCGGTAAAGTCATAAGCCCCAAGGTAGTAAGGAATTTAGTCTAGGACTCAACACAAATAGTGACTTTGAAGTTTTGCCAAGATGGGGAATCTCTTCAGTCAAGCCACATGGTCACAAGTTTGTGTTGCTGGCAAGGAATCAGTGTGAGGTAATTGAGCATGGTCTGAGAAAGCCTGCCACAGGCTGTCTGTAGAAAGTGTTAGATTGTATGCTTTGCCAGTGTTTTCAACCTGGCTTTCTATCCCAGTAATTCCTTTAGCCTTATGTTTAATGTGCTTGCCTATATCACGGAGAGTTTTTCATATTTGATGTGTTCTTCTTAAAGCATTGGATGTATAAAACCTGTCCTCAGTTGAAAATGAGAGTGTTTTGTAGGAAGGCTGTCATCTTGTGACATGAAAGATTAGGCTTTGAAATTTATCTTGCTGCCACCTACATCAGGGTCTTGGAAGCTGGGAGTGCTGCAGAGGTGACCCAGAGCCCTTGAGGGATTTAGACACTCACTGCGTATCTCATGAGAAGTCTATTTTAAAGCCTACTCTTGATCTGAGATGAAACTGTTACCTTCCTAGATAAGAAAACTGGAGAGTAGGCTATGAATAATGTGTGGATTTTGAGAGGGAAGAAGTTGACTTAATTGGGAAGAGCTGGTCACAGTAATGGGAGTAGAGAGTAATGGAAAGCTTATGATGGTCATTTTAGACTGACAGTGAAAAAATCAAATCCTATTCTCAGTTATTTAGCTGGAAGAATAAATATTTGTTTTCCTAAAGCATGGAAACTATATGATAGAGATATAATTTTAAGCTGAGCTTTGAGATGTGGCACAAGTCTTGACAGAGTTGGGAAGAAGGGCATGCCAAGCTCTGAAGAAGACAGACTTGAAAGCTGGTACCCATTTGCAACATAATCTTAAGAAACTAAAAGTCTAAATTCCTTAGAGATTCTTCCAAAATTCTGTCCCAACCAAAAATTGTACTTAACTTTCCCTCCTCTAAGTTACTTTAGGTCATTAAGTAGGTCTTGACACAGACCTTTTCATTCCTAATCTGTTTTCTCCCATTGCCACTCCATCAATTCCATAGAGGCAGCTCTCTTCTCAGGATGCCGTTTCCAGGAAGTCTTTAATGACAGCAGCACTAGCCTTCTCCTGCAGAACACAACCAAGTAGATAGTATACAGTCATCCTTATGCACGCATGTGTTTTGAGTGTATTGAGGATTGGGTTGGACACTGAGAAGACTGGTGACCTGGACCATGAAGAGGAAACAAAAAAGGAAGTAGAAAAAGCCCAATTGAGTTGCTGAACAGAATTCAGTGAAACTCAAAACAGTGACTCAGGTTCAAAAATTGAACTAGGTTCAAGGAACTAGGGTTATGTTCTAGGCTTATGCAGCATAAGCCTAGTTCCAGTCTAGTTACTTCTGGATTTCTGCAGGATCTCCACAGGATATTGTATTATACATTCTCAAAGAAATTTTATTTTGAGTGAATTATCTGATAAGAGTTGCATAGTAAATTTAGTTACATATGTTCTTTTCTTGGCAGCCTTGGAATCACACAGAATCTTGCAGATTTCTTTCAGTGTGGCTGTTTTGGCTTAGTGAAGCCCTGCGTAGTAGATTGGACATCACAATACACCATGGTCTTTCACCCAGCCAAAGAGAAGGTTCTTCGCTCCGTATGAAGAAAAACAACTAAAAACTCTCACTCTCATTTTGGTTTTGTGTGTGTTGATACCTTGTGGTCTGAAAGTGAAATGAAATTTAGAACTTACCTAAAACCAAAGGAAAACACAAGTGGTTTTGAAGCCTGTGGTAAAATAGTTCTCAGTAAGTGCTTGCCTTCTTTCAGATCTACAAGAATGGACTGTTCCTGGACAATTTTAGTAGACATCACTAAAAAAGAAATTTCTATTTTTCCCCAAAGCATAAATTACTTTTTTAAAGATAATATTCACTGATTATGGATAAAAGTATTTTCAGATACTATATAGGATGCTTCAAAGTATTTGTATTTCTTAAACCTGTGTTTTTTCATAAGCTTTTTGTTTATTGTACCTATAAATATGAACAAAATGTTTAAGTAGACATACCTGGTTCAGTTTCTCACTTAATAAGGAAGGGTGTTTTTTTAATAATTGAGGCTGTTCTTAACACCTAACATATTTAGAATCTTCAATTGAAATAATATGTTTATATGACATAAACTAATTCAGTTTCAGGAACTCTATTTGTCAAACTCAGTTAATCATGTCAGTCACCAGTAGGGGGAGTCTGGGAACAGTATACCCAGAAAGCAGGAGACTTCCAAAATTACTAGACTACAATGAGTTTCTTCCTTTGTTTTGCTTTTTTGTTTTACTATTTTTTTACTTTACTGAAATGATAATGTCTTCTTTTAAATTCTAGCAGAATTTGTTTACTCTTATTAACTATCATTCTCATTCACTAAACAATTTTCATTAAGTGCCCACTGTTTATTGCACACTCAGTACAAATATGTCATGTTTTAACATGGAGGGAAATTGAAACTCAAGTCAATGAAAAAAGGCTATGCTAATTATATACTGGCTGTCAGAGCACAGAGATAGATTCCATTCTACTTAGGTAGTTCAGAAAGGATTTTGCTAAAGGGATGGCATTTGATCTGAGATTGATTAATAGAAGTTTACCAGGCTAAGGAGTTGTGTAGGGGATAAATATGGAGGGATTCCATCTTTTAGGAGGTCCAGGCAGAAGGAACAGTATTAACCAAGGCCCAGAGGGCCAAAATCACTAGTTGTATTAAGAAAGCTTCAAGTCTTGAGTACAGCTGGAATGTATGTAGAACACATTGTCTAAAGCTGAATTGAAGGTATAAGAATGAGGCCACTTGTGAAAGCCCTTGTATGATGATCTGTTATGCACTGAACTGTGCCTCCCCAAAATTTATAAGTGAAACTTTAATTTCCAGTATCTTAGAATGTATTTGGAGACAGGCCTTTAAAGAATTAATGAATATGAAAGGAGGTTATATGGTTGGGTCTTAATCCAGACTGATAAGTATCCTTATTAAAAGAGTTTAGAGCACAAACTCAGAAGGAAGACCGTCTGACAATATAGAGAGTGATGCCATCTATAAGCCAAGGCGAGAAGCTTCAAAAGAAACCAATTCACTGACACCTTGATCATGGACTTCTAGCTTCCAGAACTGTGAGAAAATTTGTTTAAGTTACCTCATCTGTGGTATTTTGTTACATCAATCCTAGCAAACAAATATACACACACCAGAGATTGAGAATAGATGGGATGTCTTTGGGGGGTCAGAATTGAGGAGACTTGAACAGCAAGGCAAGGAAAAAATGGGGAGAAGGCAAAGCTAATGATGACTGGTTTTAACTTTAATTTCTTGATACATAGGTGGTGATGCTCGTATCTGAAATGGAGCAGAAGAGGTTATGTTGTCCTATAGGCATGTCTGTGTCTTACCCATCAGCCCAGGCCAAGGAAGTATATTGCTTTAAAACCCTACATACTCCAAGAGAGCATATAAATACTATTGAATAATTGCATTTTAAAGGTAACTTTTTGGGGGACTTGAAGCATAGGAAAACACATAGTTTAGCCTAGTATTTCATAGTTTTTTGTTTTTGCTTTGTTTTTGGTCAGTCGGGGCCTGGGCGCTGTCCTTCAGCTCTTCAGCTCAAGGCTAGTGCTCTACCACTTGAGCTACGTGCCACTTCTGGCTTTTTCTGCTTATGTGGTGCTGAGGAATCGAACCCAGAGCCTCATGCAGGCAAGGCAAGCACTCTACCACTGAGCCACCTTCTCAGCCCCTATTTCATAGTTTTTAATCAATAGATCTTTATTTGTTTTTAATTACTCTAAATAATTCAGAATTGCACAGATATGAGGGAAATGATGGCAATCCAAGACAATGCAAATATTCAAGCTGCTGAGTCTTGCTGAAGAGGCAGAGAAAGACATCTTTAATTGGCTGGGTTTCATTTGTAAAGATGGCAATTTGATGGAGAAGTTTTAAAAAAATTGCTAGGACTCAAGAAATTGTTCTGAAATAAAAAAATAATCCTCACATCGTTTATAATATAGAACCAAATGCTATTTTTTATTGTCACTAAGTTTTTACAACATAGGTAATATCGCAAAGCCCATGACAGGACTAAAGGATCACTTTTAAGAAATTTTATTAGTTTTGATTTTTCTTTTAGAACTTGTAATCATGTTCTCTATTTCTTCCCAAACCTCCAGTTTTCTCCTCTAACAGTAACAATATAACATCTGACAAAATTATCAGAAAACTATCTTCCTTTTTCTGGTGCTTTTTCCTTTTCATTCCTTCCCTCTCCAGTCAACATCCAAATTAATACTCTCAAGCTAGTTTGGTTTTTTGTTTGTTTGTGTGTGTGTGTGTGTGTGTGTCATGAGGCTTGAACTTTGTGCCTGGGCGCTGTCCTTAAGCATTTCAGCTCGAGGATAGCAATCTACCACTTGAGTCACAGCACCACTTCGGTTTTCTGAGTGGTTTATTTGAGATAAGGGTCTCATGGATTTTCTTGCCCTGGCTGGCTTTGAACCGTGATCCTCAGATCTCAGCCTCCTGAGTAACTAGGATTATAGGCATGAGCCACCGCTGCCAAGCTTTTTTTTAAGCGTGTGTGTGTGTGTGTGTGTGTGTGTGTGTGTGTGTTAATCTCCTATCCCCCCCCAAAAAAATTCAGAGCCATACAAAGTACCATTGAAATATTTATTTACTGCCTCTCCCACCCCAAGGATCGTAAATTATAAAACATCTGTTGTAGGTAAAATTTTAAATAATTTCTTCCAAAGATTTCTTCTCACTTTGTAAAGTGTATGATCGCTTCTGAAGAGAAAAGCTGTTCAGCTACAAATGAGGCTGTTTGGGGAAAGCTCTCATCTGCCGGATTACTTGGCAGTGTATTTGGCTGGTGAAGGTTGTGAGAAAGGGGTCACCTTTTCACTCTTTCTTTTCTACTTGATGTGTAAGGCCTCCAAATCCAATGCCTGTGGGGCCAAAATTTTTGGCGTAGCAAACTGAATGAGAACAGGAAAAAGAATTCATTGATTAGTACCATAATTTCAGGCCTTCTGCCTGCACAACATCCTTTTACATATTAAAGGCAACCTTTTGATAAATATGTGCATAAATTAACTTAGATAAATACTTATCTTAGGTCTGCTAATAAAATTTTGTTTATACTTTTAAAATATATTATTATTATAATTACATAAGTCAGGTAATGAGTACATTTCTTTTTGGACAGTGTTACCCTTTACACTTTTTTGCACTTTACCATTTCCCCAGACATTTTTCTCATTCAAGACTGTATAATCTGGTTCCAGGTCATCTTCCCAGACCCCACCACTGCTTTCCTCCTGCTGCCTGGCTTCCTCCCTGCACTCCGGACACACAGACTTCTTGCATTTCCTAAAATATACTATGCTATCCCTGTTTAGAGATCACTGCTTCTTGTTTCTGGAGTGCCTCTTCCCACACTCATATCTGTCAAGCCCTGGAGGAACCATGTCTACTGTATTGTTGACTTTTTTTTTTTTTTTTGTCGGTCATGGGCCTGAACTCTGGGGCTGGGCACTCTCCCTCAGCTCTTTCAAGGCCAGCACTCTACCACTTGAGCTATAGCACCACTTCCAGCTTTTTCTGCTTATGTGGTGCTGAGGAATCGAACCCAGGGCCTCATGAATCCAAGGAAAGCACTCTACCACCAAGCCACCTTCCCAGCCCCTACATTGTTCACTTTGAAATACAATGTTTACATGTTGATCTTCCTGCTGGCTGTTGCAAGATTTTAGGATTTTAAGGTTATGAATGCTGAGGACCCCCTATGGCTTCTTTCTACTTTGTGTCATATGGTGAGTTAGTTTCTACCCTGTTTCATCATAGGAAATGTTTTGGCAAACTAGTTTTATGAGACAGGGTGTCTCTATATAGCTAAGGAGGATCTAACTTGAGATCCTCTGCCATAGCCTCTTGATACCGAACCTCCATACTTATATTATTGATGCCCTGAAATCCCCTTTCCGTTACTTCTGCTCTATACCATTGTATATATTTGGAGATTCTCTGGGGTTAAAAACACATTACCCTGGCCCTAGTGCATTTTTTTCCTTATCATTAGTAAAGAGCTGAGCCTTACTATCTATACATAGGAGGGATTATGGAGGCAACTAAGGGCAGAGGCATCAAATAGGAAGAAAACCAGTAAAGTCTCTGTGATTACTAAGTGATTGGCAACATCACAAACAAATGTCAGGAGGAAAGAAGATATATTTTGATAAACCCAAATACCACTATCTCTACTCAAATGGAGAAAGGATTTTGGGGTTTTCACAAGGGTCCTGGTGCTGCTATTTGTTTGCTCTGAAACCTGTTCCAAGACCAGAGGTAGGACATTATTTCTCACCCAGGCATCAGCTGCACTGAACCACTGAGCATCTTATCTACAAGCCAATGGTCCCCTCCCTCCCAGGTTTTCCCCAGTAGGGTAGAGAAAACCAAGTGTTCTCTTTAATTCCCTTAGGCAGTTTTGTACCCTATCCTGAGAACCCAAACTTCACTCAGACTGAGTAACTCCACTCCTGGACAATATAGGCCTCCAAGCACAGAGACAACTTCCCCTCCCAAGGGCCCCTTCCTGGCAAAAAAAAAAAAAAATCTCAAGGAAGACTCAGAGCTACTCACCTTTGCAATAAAGCTCTCCATCTTTATCAGTGACATTCGTAGACTCCAGACTCTTCCCACAGATGGCACAGCGGAAACAGGTCTTATGCCAAGGCTGAGGGGCACAAAAGAGTTGCATCTCAAGGAGGTAGCAGCCCTAACTCCTTTGTATACTGGAGAGCAGTATACAAAGGAGTGCCGACTCTTAACCTTTCCCTTACTGAAGGGGATCCTTAAACAACTTTCTTGGGTTTGGAAAAAATGAGATACAATGAGCATTTCAAGTTGATTTATTGTGATTTTACAACTGTAGTTGTTTTTTCAGAAAACACAAAACTGGAAACGTTACCTCAGGGTGAAAAGTTCCAAAGAACAAACTGGTTAAGAGAGGACTTGGGGAAAATGGATAATGTTTATATTGAATATGAAAGTAAGGGAAAAAGTGAAAAGCTAAGTATTTATCCCGGCTGACTTTGTTGTATGGTCACCTCCCACCTGCACATCTGCATGTCTGGTAGGCACAGCTTGGAGGTTCTCATGTCTGTAAAAGGCTTTTCTGCATGTGGAGAGATCTATGCTTTAAGTCAAACTTCTTTCATGGTTCCTCATTTAGTATTATCAGTATTTTCCTCTCCTTAGGTGCAACTGCTTTGGGAAATACCTTGGCTTTGTAGGATAGTGTACTTTACTGTCTTTAATACTTGATGACTTTACTGAAAGCCAGGACATTTGTAAGTGAGGATGCCTCTCACTACTGTGAGGTGGTTGCTGTGTGATGGCCGCAGTAGATTGAATGACACAGTGGTGACAGGTTTCCAGGGCTGATGCCTTTCTGTAAAGATTGTGGACACTGCTAGGGAGAGAGGGGGAGAGGAGTAAGGGGACATTGTGTGCCTTTATATCCCCAAGACCTACTAGTAACTCATTCTTGTTGCTGCAAACCACACCCATTCTAGCTTTCCAAGTGCACTGCTGGTGCACAATCACCACCTGGGATAGTGGATGAGGCTCTGTAGTACCTAAACAGGAAGGGGAATGAAAAGTCTGACCCTCACCTACCCACAGTTCTTACTTTTTTCCTTTTATTCCACTCAGCTGATCTGGTGTAGATGAAGAATCCCACCTGGCTCACACACAAAAGACCTTACCTTGCCACCTCCCATGACTTTCTCAGCAGCATAGACTGACTTTCCACATCGAGGGCACTTCTCTGACTCTCCAAACTTGGCAGTGAACTTGGAAGGGTTGCTGGTGGTTGAGCGTGCTGGCTTTGGGGATCTGGTGGGAATAGGCAAACTAATGAATTGTAGCTCTTTCTTGGCACACTTCTCTACGTCTCTTTCTCCTAACCTGGAAAATGGATGTTTTTCGTGGAGCTTCCAAGAGGATTGAATGAGGCAAGTGAAACTATTGAGAACATTGCCTGCTTAGCCTGTACAAGCTAATAAATATTAGATATAATGGACTTAAATTTTCTGTTAGCTAGTGCTTTATGTTCATATATGTTCCTGTTATTGTCAGAAATACACACATTGTGTTGTTTTGCTGTGCTTGTTTAGACTTTTCTGTAGTGTCTTGAAGTGTAGTTTATCTCAAGGGAGTTGTGAAAATCCCAGGGAAAATTGGATCTTGATTGTTGGTGTTAATCAGTTCCTGGCATATCATGTCCCCTGGGCTGTTTCATTCCTTATCACACAATTCAACTCCTTTTGCATCTAGAGGTCACCTGTACACGTGAGAACAATGCCCAAAATTCTGTTTTTATATCTTTTGTTGTTTTCTTATAAACTATGTCACTTGTGCCTCACTATAACTTTAAGAAGAGGGCAGGGCTAGGTGGAAGAGAGCAAGGATCAGAGGTTTAACAAGTCCAGACAGTGCATTATTAGTCACTTTTGTTACTCTTTTCCTAAGGTTGGAAAGGAAATTTTAAATAATGTGAGGCAGACAATATAGTTTGATAACAATCTACATCTGGGATGAAGTAAGGAGAGAAATTAAAAGGACCGGTTCTTTCCTTGTAGTGAGTAATCATATATCCTTCCACTTTTCTAGGCTCCATGGTGGGTTACTCTGCTGAAGGGACCTTTGTCTCTTCAGTGACCTAACTGCTCTCTGGAGATATCCATAGGACTATTTCTCAATTGGGCTGAACCGTTCTGGTTGGTCCCACCATAGAGCTGTCCAGTCTGCTGCAGCAGACTAACTACCAGCAGACTTTGCTCTGTCTGGACTGGAGTCAATGTGATCATCATGAAAGTGGACCCAAGGGAGCAGACTGGTGGATAGAGGTGGCCATTGTGATAGTATTGGGGGAAGTCAAACACTATACAGGTGGCAGGCAGCCAGGGAGATTCATAGAACAATCATTATTGATTGTTTACTCTTGAGGATCAGCCCATCCCCATGGACACCTCCACCTGTGATACAGACATTAGTCATCTTACAACCAAAGAGAAGAAATCTTTTGGTGACAAGCATGCAGAGAATAGCCATTGCTGTCCTGCAATATTTATGTGATTTACACAGGAACTCTCAAAGGAGAAGAAAAAGACTCGGTGAGTTTTTACAAAGGTCAAACAATGGAACATCTGTAAATTCTGGGTTTTCTCTTGACATGCAGACCAAGAGCCATGGTATAAAGTAATTGCCCTTTAGAAAGGCAGATAATTTAAAAAGTCTTTGGAGAGATGACACATTGTTAGAACTTGGTCAGACTAAGTATTCCTATTGTTGGCAAGTCAACAATAGAGTTCATTCTCTCACTTCCAGAAAACGTTGCTATGGGAACAAAATGAACTGTCCTGATCATTGGAAACGCTAACCAGGGAGGGAGAAAGCATAGCAGTAACTCACTGTTGGAACTGCAGGCCGAGGTGCTCCCCTGTGTCGGTGCTGAGGCAGCCAGCACCTTGTCCGTACCCGATCCCTTTGGGGCCATACCTGCGCCCATAGCAGACCTTGCAGTAGATTTCTGACTCATGAGCTGCCACTGTGGTGCTGTCAAGAGCCTTCCTGCAGGCCACTGCCAAGGAAAGGGAGAGTCAGGGAATTGGGGTTAAAGTCCTCTCCTTTCCTGTACCCACAATGCCATGCTTAGAAGGCTGTAAGCCTCCTGGCCACAACATCTGTCCTGAATCATAGACTCCAAGAGGTCTCAATTTTAGACATGAGGAAATTGGGGCACAGAGAAGGGAGAAATAATGACATGTTCAGTGTATCCAACGTGGAAAGGGCAGAGGGTAACATTAGAATCAAAGTGTGCCTTAGACCTGTTAATAGTCCCTGAACAAGTCACATCAGGGAAGTATCTGTGTGTGTGTGTGTGTGTGTGTGTGTGTGTGTGTGTGTGTGTGTGTGTGTGTGTGTGTGTGTGTAGTTGGAAGAATTTGGGGGCAGAGTGGAAAAGGAAATTACTTTTTCCCCTTCCATATAAGAACCAAGAATGAGCAGTTTCTATACTTACACTCTTTAAAATATTAAAGGATATTCAAGGAGACAATGGATGTTGAAACCAATTAGTTCTGGAGACAAAGGGGCAGATCTGGCCCAAGGGCCCTTTATTCCACTGGCTGCTGTATATTCCACAAGTAATAAGAGCAAATCCCCTACTTTTCCAAAGACAGGGTTATAGGAAGACTCTTTTTTTTCAAACTTGAAAGGGGAAAACATTTTTTTTTCTTTTAACAGTATTTAGAGTCAAACCAAAGGCCATGCACACACTAGCCATTGAGCTAGCCCAAGGGAAAAAATACAACTTTTATAGATATTAATGAAAATATTAGTTATTTAATAAACTAGACAGGAACAGTTATTTCCTTGGAATGTTACTTGTTTCTAATCTCACTCAAGTTCAGGGAATGATTATGTTTAATTCTTTCTTTACAACTTCTCTGCCACAGTCACTTTTGGGACAGATGACCTAGATTTGCTGAGCAGCTCACCTTCACTTCCCTCTGGGGTATGCACTCTTCGAGAGGCAGCCCTCTTTTGTGTTTTGTCCCTGATTGAGAGCCATCACATAAAAATTGTATCTCAATAAAAAGAACCTATTAGCATAATATGTATGAAGTTAGTTGTAAAATACATAGTTTCCTCAGCGTAACAATTCACTGTATTACTTTAGAACAATAATCCTTAAAATGTTGTTTATAGTAAGCCAGTTGTTTACATGGATCTTCATTCAAGGCCAGCTAGCTATGTGCCTGTCATTCTAGCTATAGTAGGGAGGCATAAATTGAAGGGTCACATTTCAGGCAAGCCCAGCCAAGATGCAAGACTCCATCTGAAAAATTACCAAAGCAAAAAGGACTAGAGACATTGTTCAAGTGGCTGTTCAAGTGGCAAGATATCTGCCCACCTAGCATTATGCCTTCAGTTCAAATCTAACTATTACCAATAACAAAAGTTGTTTTTAGTGATACTTAGAATAGCAAAGTTGTATCCCCAGGAATAATAAATTGTGCATTAAATTTGTCTCTTTTTAAGCCAGTTCCATCAAGTGATCTCTATAAGCAATCCATCATGGAATACGGTTGTTGCAGGTTAAGAAGCCTTCCTCAAGGGATTTTTTTCTTTTAAAATTAACTTATTAAATTAAATAAGGGAGTAGAGGAAAACACAGATTATAACTAAGGTAGGATTAGCAAGGGGTTGATGGTTGTGGGGCTTGGAATACAGACAGGGAAGTTTATACAAGTATATGTATGGTTACTATATATGGGTTAAAATTATTTTTAACAAAAATGTTTTTAATGTAATTTAGAGAATCCCATAGCCCGAGAGAAATTATGAGGCTTTGAACAAAGGGCAAGTCTTGTGAATAATCATTTTTGGTAGAGAATGCCTCAATGGGCATAGAAAGTCTGTCTTGTTCTATCAGTAGCCACTCTTCACAACAACTGCTCACATATTTGTTGATGATCTAGACATTGAGTTTCCAGGAGGATGAGGCCTTAATATCCTCACAACATAGCAGAGAGCCTGGGGCCAAAGTCAGTGCTCTGTAAACATCTGTTGAATTAATGAATAAGGGAAGGAACTGAATGTATGTATCACTGGAGATCAGTGATTTGTCCACTATTATTCAGCAATAAGTTGCAGAACCATAGCTAGCCTCAGATCCTTTGACTGCCTGTCCAGACAGCCTGTGCCCTACATGCCCTAGTTGTGGCTGGTTCTAGCTTCTGACCAGCTTTTGTACACAAGCTATGCTATCTAATAGGATAGACACTAATCACATGTGTTGGAAATACAAAACGCATTACCTGATTTCAAACACTTAGTACAAACATGAAAAGAATTTAGAATGTTTCATTAATAATTTATATCTAGCTGGGCATTGGTGGCTCACACCTGTAATCATAGCTACTCAGGAGGTGGAAATATGAGGATTCTCAAAGCCAGCCTGGGCAAGAAAACCCATGAGAGACTTATGTCCAATTAGCCACTAGAAAACTGGAAGTGGCACTGTGGCTCAAAGTGGTAGAGTGCTAATCTTGAGCAAAAAGCTCAGAGATAGTGCCCAGGCCCTGAGTTCAAGCCCTATGATAATTTATATCTGATTGTACATTGAAATCATATTTTAGGTATATTGAGTTAAATAAAGTGTTTCATAATTTTTACTTTTTTTATTTTTAAAACTAGTTATGAGAACATCTAAATTTATATATGTGGCTTATGACATATTTCAGATAGTGCTGGGTGGAAGATTAGCTTAAAGACTAATTATAGAGATTTACTAAAAGTTAGGAGAATACTGGTAGGAAACACTGACTCTCTGAATTCTATTTCCAACTACTAGAAGCTTCCAGTAACTAGGTAAATCTTGTAAAGATAATGTAGAAAAGTGTACTCCTCTCTAGCACCTTTATTTTTTTGTTGTTGTTATTGATGGTGGTGGTGGTTTTGGAGCTTGAACTCGGGGTCTGAGAACAGTCCCTGAGCCTCTTTGAGCTCAAGACTAGTGCTCTACCACTTGAGCCACAGCACTACTTCTGGTTTTTGAGTAGTTAATTGGAGATAAATGTCTCACAGGGACTTTTCTCTCTGAGCTGGCTTTGGACAACAATCCTCAGAGTAGCTAGGATTATAGGTGTGAGCCACCAGCACCCAGTTCTCAAGCACCTTTCTATCTACTACTTCAGCTCCCCATCCTACCTACAAGTTGGATTTAAAGGGATGTATAAGCCAGGTGTCTGTGGTTCACATCTGTAATCCTAGCTACTCAGGAGGCTGAGATCTGAGGATTGCAGTTCAAAGCCAGCCTCTTATCTCCAGTAAACCACTAGAAAACCGGAAGTGGTGCTGTTGCTCAATCAGTAGAGTGCTTGCCTTGAGCTGAAGAGTGTAGAGACAGCGCCCAAGCCCAGAGTTCAAGCCCCACAACCGACCAAAAAAAAAAAAAAAAAAACTGTCTACATGGGCTGGAAAGGTGGGGAGGGGGGGGATTTATAGCCAGGCTCCAGTGCCTCACACTGGAAATCTTAGCTACCTGTGAGGATGAGATTAGGAGGATTGCAGTTTCAGGCCAGTGCAGGCAGTAGTCTTCAAGCCTCCATCTCAAGAAGCTAGGGTTGTTGGTATGTACCTGTCATCCTAGCTTGGATATTAAGCCTAAAATAGGCAAATCAAAGTTGAAACATGCACTAGATGGAAAGAAAGACCCTGTCTTCAAAATAACTAGTTCAGAAAAGGACCATTGGCAGAGCTTAACAGTAGAATGCCTGCTTAGCAAGCATGAAGCCCTGAGTTCAAACCTCAGTACCATTTAAAAAAAGAAAAGAAAAGAAAAATATACCATCAGTGATTCAAATCCCTCTACCATAGATCCATTGAACTGGATAGATCTATGTTATGGAATAACTCAAGGTAATTGTGTAATAGTAAATAATAAAGATGAATATGAGTGATACATAAGACAGCTTTAAAAGTAATTACTCAGGCTAGGTGCTGGTGGCTCATGCTTATAATCCTAGTTACTCAACAGACTGAAATTTTAGGATTACAGTTCAAAGCCACCCTGGGCAGAAAAGTCTATGAAACTTTTATCTCAAATTAACTACCAAGAAGCAGGAAGTAAAGCTGCAGTTCAAATGGTAGAGTGTTAATCTTCAGCAAAAATATTAAGGGACAGCACCAAGGCTCTGACCAACACACACACACACACACACACACACACACACACACACACACACACATACACACACACACACACACACACACACACACACACCAAGGCTCTGACCAACACACACACACACACACACACACACTACTCATCATTAAAACCCAGAACATCAATAAGTCTGCCAACCCAATCATTGGGAATAGTCTCCCTTTTCTTCTATAATAATTGTTTGCTGTGGGAGCTAAGAGATCACGAGACTAACCACAGCTGAAAAATGATACTATTTCTGGCATCATAAAGGATGGAGTATCTACTTGTTCTAATAGTTGGAGTTCAGCCCTGTTTAAAACCTTTTGGAGCTCTGTGGGCATTTTGCAATCCCTAGGCTGGGGCGTAGTGATTGGGGGAAGTCTAGATAAGGGCAGGACCTGCTAAATTTGCAGCAAAGCTAGTCCTTGAGTCAAACCTACAAGAGGCAAGCTGAGAAGGAAAGTGGCCATTTTAAAGCCATGGCTAGTTTTCCTAGGAACAGGATCACTAGCAAACTGTAGAATGCTGTCATGTCAAAGGTCTCTGGATTAGAAGTCTGAATGTCCAGGAGCTGTTCCTAGTTCTGCTGCAGATGCATACAATCTGGGTGTAGAAATGAGAAATGGCTTGTCTGCAGTTACATGCCAGACTATCAGGTAGTTCACAGTGTCTCAAAGTCCAACCTCATAACCACCGTCACCCCCCACACCACCACCACATACAGTTTTTTTAACATTTGTAAATCTGTGTCTGGTAGTTGAAAGGGAAGATTTTCTTCATGAAGTTCTAGTGTCCAGGTCCTGAATGTATGAAATGGCATGTGTTGTCCCTGACAGACATAGATTCTTTTCTTAAGAAAGACCAGTTACAGCTGGCTGGAGTGACAGCTTGTCAGTAGAGACAGTACAGCAAGCCAAATCCTCTCTAGTTTCAGATAACTACTGCCTTTCTCTGCCAAGTTTTGATATTTTGTAAATGTCACCACTACTGGGCCAAAGTTTTCACCACAGAGGCAGAAGTAGACCAGCTTCTCTTGACTTTGGGCTGGATGAGTGATTGGAGAAAAAGTGCTCAGGTGAACATGGCTCCGTCTTTAGGTGGAGCTCAAAGATGGTATTTCTCACAAGTGCCCTGGCCATGCCTAGGTATACAGACCACACATGAGAACCCTATGTCAGAACTTTGAAATATCCTCTAGTCCCCGCATTTGCCTAACTCACTGCAGTGAAAGCAGGTCTTGTGGAAGCTCCTCCCATTGCACTGGATTTCTTCTGCATGGTAGACGGTCTTTTCACAGGCTCCACATTTTGCTCCTCCACCCAAGTTTGGCATCTTGAAGACTCTTGGACCAAGACAAAGTCTAAGAGGATATAAAACAAATACCCTAAATTTAGGTGATCTTTACTGAAGTAGTATCTTGATGTTATCTGAGAACCAGGATCCAGCCCATTTTTGTTTTTTCTTTGGTGCTTCATTCATTCATTCATTCAGAGAACAGTTACCATGTGCAACTAGCTCAGGCACTCCAGTGGTTTTATGTGGTTACTTTATTGAGTAGACTCTCTTTCTACTTCTGTTACATTTCAAGAGTATCTTCCCTTATATACCTTACAGGTTTCCAGTAGCAAATGGATGACTAATTTTTTTGTATATAAAAATCTATGTAAGTATTTTTTAATCTAAGATTTAAAATTTAACCCACTAAAAGTGGGAGTTACCTCTCAAACTGGCATTATCTTCCTATCTAATGAAGTATTTCCCAAATCATCTTACCTCTTGCTAAAATACAAATTCTGTCTTTGTAGCTGTGGAAACAGGCCATCTTATTAGTTTTTATAGTGGACTATCCTTACAATAGCAAGGTATTTATCTTGCTGGTAAAAATATATAATACATCGTATTTCCAGTTCAGATACATTGCTTTTATCTGTCCACCCTATGTACATTGCAGCTCTCTATGAAGATATCATAAGGAATCTCAATGAAAGCTGTTTATGATAAGGAGCTAGGGAGCAGGTAAAAAGAAATCAATAGAGAAGTCTATTCTGATCAAAATGTAATATATGCATGTCTAAATATTATGGTATAATACCCCTTTATACAATTACTCTCCCAAAAAGGAATGAATGGCAAGTAGAACAGGCTTTATTGTAAGGATTAGGTACTAGTGAAAGGGAAAGAACTAATGAAAAAAGTGAATGGGAATGCATATGGCTGGAGTAGTTTATTTGTATGAAAGTAGAACAAAAAAAGCCTATTGAAATTGCTTTAGATGTGGGGAGGAAGGGAAACTGACAGAGGGGGTGAGATTAATAGGGATACATTGTATGCATGTGTAGAAATGTCATAATGAAATCTCCCTTAGAACTCATGTATTAAAAAAATAGAGTAAAGCCCTATGGAGGGAAAAAACTCATGCCAGTGGCTCATACCTGTAATTCTGTAAACCTGAGGATTAGGGAATCAGGATTTGAAACCAGCCCAGGAAGGAAATTCTGTGATACTCATTACCAGTTAATGACAAAAACACCAAAAAGCAGTAGAGCATAAGCCTTGAGCAAAGAACAGCTAAGGACAGCACCCAGGGCCTGAGTTCAAACCCCAGTACTAGCACCAAAACCAAACACACACACAAAAAAACAAATCAGTACTATGCCACATCAGTACTCTGGAAACATACTTGGTGAAGTCATTCCTGATGTGTCCGGAATAACTACATAGCTTCTTTTCCTCTTCCCACTTATATATTGAAGGGAGACAAGTTTTTCCTTGCTTTTTCCAGAGTGTCATTCAAGGACCAAGTGACATACTCTACAGGTAGGGACTTGAGTTTGCTGCACGTGTTGGTCCTGCTGTGTCACCCCCACTCATGGAGAGAACTTTCTGCTGACAAGATACTGCTGCTTATGACTACAACCCTAGGCCACCATTGTCTTTTCATAAGAAATTTTTTCTTTCTTTTGTTGGTCGGTCATAGGGCTTGAACTCAGGGCCTGGGCACCGTCCCTCAGCTCTTTTACTCAAGGCTAGCTCTCTACCACTTTGAGCCACAGCTCTACTTACAGTTTTTGGTGGTTAATTGGAGATAAGAGTCTTACAGACTTTCCTTTCTGGTCTGGCTTTAAACCACAATCCTCAAATGTCAGCCTCCTGAGTGACCTGGATTAGAGGTGTGAACCACCAGCATCCAGCTTCACCAGAATTTTATGGGAGCTATTACTCAAAGACGAGGATTTAAAAAAATAATTTACATATATTTTTAACTATGAGTCCAAACTTTCTGTCTCCCAAAACTAATATAAGCCATTAATATCCAGCTACACTGGGGACTCAGTTTTCACTGGAATCTTTTGGTTTCTAAGAAGCCACTGGCTGTGTCATCTTGTCATTGACACTGAGCACTTTCAAGCCATTCTGAGTGGCTGCTTCTGACCTTTTTTTTCTTTTTTTTCTTTTCTTTTCTTTTCTGGGAAACTAGTCACCTTCATATAATAGTTAGTGATTAACACTAAGCCCTCCTGGGTCAGCTGCTCCAGATTGTGTCTCACAGGCTCATAACAAAGACAATTTTTGCTAAGAATTGAAAAGTAAATAGCAAACAGACCATTGAACTTGACCCTAGGACTGAAGAGAAAGTCACTATCAAATATCCCTCCTTAGAGCCTTTCCCCGTAGAAGATCTGAGGCCAGCTATGAACATACTTCCTCTTTGGGCTCTTCTGTTTATTGTAAAAGTTTAGAAAAAAATTCAAGAGATAAAAAGGGAACATACTCAGTTTCCTATGTTTCTACAGTTTGTTCTATGGTTTGGTTGAGTTGAAAACCCAACTGTAATCAAGCCTGATTAATTCATTTGTTTACTCATTCATGTATTTATTTATTCATTCACCATGCATTTACTACCTGCCTATCAGATATGTGCCATGTATTCATTAGGTTCTCAGTTACAGATCAAGAAAGGAGGAACTTATAAAGATGGATAATTTGGGGCTGGGAAGGTGGCTCAGTGGTAGAGCGCTTGCCTTGCATGCTTGAGGCCCTGGGTTCAATTCCTCAGCACCACATAAGCAAAAAGAAAAAAGCCAGAAGTGGCCCTGTGGCTCAAGTGGTAGAGTGCTAGCCTTGAGCTGAAGAACTGAGGGACAGCACCCAGGCACAGAATTCAAGCCCCAAGACCGGACCCCCCCCCCCAAAAAAAAAGATGGATAATTTGTGTTCTCTGGCATTGAGAAAACCATATTCTAGTTGGAAAGGATAAGCCAGTACTTAAAGAACTTAAAGAAGAATTTGGGAAAAGTTTTGCGAGAACTTAATCAGGGAAGGGTACTTAATTGGAGAGTCACAGAAGAGATCACAGTCAAAGTTTTGAAGGGTGGATAGGAGTTTAGCAGATAAAGGAGGGAAGAAAATGTCAGGCAGAAAAGAAAGCAGAAAGTCATAGAAACAGAATATATACAAAAATACCCTGCATAGCTTATTTTAGACTATTTAAACTATAAACTCTTAGGATTGGGATAGATTCTTAAGATTGTCTGAATCCTTTATTTATAACCACAGCATGGCACAAGAAGTAATCATTTAGTTATTTTGTTGGCTACTTTTTCTCTTAGATCTGTCCTTCTTTCATGAAAGAAAATACATTTTCTAGGAAACAGTCAAATTTTGTTAACATTCATTCTGATCCCGGAAGTTTCAACATAGTAATAATATGAAATACAAGAGAAATGTAATATGTATCATCCAGGAGCATCACATTACTTGTGAAATTAATGATGTAGAAATTTTCAATAAAAACAACCCTAGGTCAAATTTCTCATTTCAAATTTTCAGTGATTTAATTGGCATATCCTGCAAGTTGATGGAAGGCCATTACATGATTTCTTGGGAGAACGTGTGTGTGTGTGTGTGTGTGTGTGTGTTGGGTGGGTGGGTGGGTGGGTGGGCATGCACGCATGCAATTGCCTAGACCTACTTTAAAAAATGAGGATAAGATTACAGATAATACCTTCCTTCCTTGTAGGCTAATGTATATTAACACAGCTGGTTTTTTAAGTGTTCATATATATCTGACATACATCAGGAAGTGAAACTCAAAATAGAAATCCATAAGTAGTCAATTAACAGTTGCTCGGTTTCATTTCTGAAGAAGGGAATGTAGAAATGGAGGATAAAATACAGAAAATTCTTTTGCTTTCTTTTAGTATACTCAGGCCCAAAGGTAGAGGACATTTTGAAGTATCATGATTCTAGACACAGATTCTAGACACAGAATCTAGACACAGATTGTGACTTTATGACTTTGAACTTGAATAAAAACATAATAACATTACCTCATGCATTGGACCATTTTGAAGGACATGGAAATATGATTAAATTTAAAACAGTATTGAGAAGCTGTACAAAAGCAAAGGATAGTTATTGTCTTTATTTCAGATTATTCTAACAGCACTAATGTGCTAATTATGTTCTTATGATTGAAAATCAACTTTAGATTCTGGCTTACAGACATAGACTTTTCAGCCTCTGAATTGCTTTGGAATTCCTGTGTCTCAACACTCTCCTAGCCAGGTTCAGGATGAGTATTTGTCCGGGCACAGTACCAAAAGATGGGCCATTTGTTTATCAGGGTTGCCTGGAACTGGTAAGGGTCATTGAAGGTAGAACACTAAATATAGCCTTCCTCGTCATTCAGTCCCATTTATCACCTGGGTCATAATCTCCATCACACCACCTGGCATTACACTCTGGGCCAGTTTGTGAGATGGCTGTGTTGTCACAGACAAATCATGGCTCAAGATTGAAGAGGGAGACAATCAGGAATTTATGGTGATGATAAAACCCAGATCCCATTGACAGACCACCTTGAGTAGACTTCTTAACAAATAATGCTGGAAAGAGAATTATTACATGGGAATGTGTTATACTAGGTGGGTAGGATCAGATGCAGGTACTAGTTCTAGTTTCTTTTTGTCTCTTCAAAGGGATGTGATCTAGGAAAACTTTTCAACCTCTTTGAACTGTAAGATCTTCTTACTATTTCATTATTTCTGGGAGACTTGTTTCAGTTCAAGTGCTATCAAATCACCTTGTAAACTGTATAGTACTCTAACATTTAAGACCTAGTTTTGTCACATTCTACATTATCATGTACCAATCTGAACTTTAAAAAATGGTAATCCATTCCATATCTTGGGTACATTTTTCTAATCTTTATTTCTCCTTCCCTCCCCCCCCCCCATTCTTCTTCCTTCCTTTCTTCCTGCTCCTTGTCCTTCTACATCTCCTTCTTCATCTTCCTCATTCAGTTAGAAAACCAAAAGATGATGATATAGAGCAAAAGTAAATTTGGCA